CTGCTGACTGATTAAGCATTACACTTATCAGGATGGAATTTCTTTTTCGACATCCTTTTACCTAAACCCAAATGCCCAGTTTATCTAGGTCTGCCTGGAGTACCCAGTTCTGATGTAACAGTAAGATACACAAAAGTGTAATCAGCAAAAATCTTACTGTAGCATTGAGACCTACTGGCATGTCAATAATGTAGTCTAAGAATAGGACTAAGCATGACTCAAGGACTGACCCTTGTGCACTCCAGAGTCAACACTTACATAATTTGACATCTCTCCATCAACAACTGCGGCTTGTGTTCTCTTGGTAAGGAAGCTAGCAATCCAGTTGTTCACGTTTCCCTGGATCCAATAATGTCGGAGCTTATGGATGAGGAGAATATGACTAACTTTGTCAAAAGCCTCAGTAAAATCAATGATCAATGCATCTGTCTGCTTTCCGGCAGCCATGTAGGTGGTTATGTCATCTATAAACTCAATGAGTTGGGATTCACAGGATCTTTTGCTACGAAAACCATGCTGAAGTGGGTATATTATGTTGTTAAGATCACCATGTTGCATGATATGGCTTAACAATGTGTTCCATGAACATGCAGCAGATACATGTAAAGGAGATGTGTCGATAGTTCTCAGCCTTTAATATATCTATCACCTTTTTGAAGATCGAAATGACATGCACTTTACGCCACTCCGATAGTACCTCTCCACTTTGTAAAGATTTTATAAAGATCATGGGGAGGATAGGGGTCAAGCTTTCAGCCAACTCCTTCAGTTCTCTTGGTTTCATCCCGTCTGGGCCTGCTGCTTTATATGAATTCAGATTTTTTAATAGTCTTAGAATTCCATTATGAGTAATGTGCAGTACTTGTGCAACTGGGTATTTTCCACTCATAGGACAGTCACGAATAAATTCTTCAGTACTGGTACATGTATGTGTCTTCTCTGACAATACGGACTGGAACTGTTTAATCAGCACACCTGCCTGGTCAGTCGAAAGGCATGTAGCACTCCTTCACTGCGGATTAGTAAGATTCCATTGTTGTTCGTTCTCTTATGCTTTTTATAAGTCAAGAAACGCTTTCAGCCGCTTTAATTTATGGGTCGTCCTCAACTGTAGGTGTTACTATTCCCTCGATGAAGTTCCAGTAGGCTCTTCTTAACTCTCTTTAATTTGTACTTTCCCTTAATTTCTTTGTTCTTTATCTCCAGATTTCTTCTTTTTGTATTGTCTGTTTCTCTTATGGATGAGTTTCTTGAGTTCTGGTGTTATCCATGGTAAGCCATCTTTGGATCTGGCATCTTTGTGTGGTGTATTTTGCTTTATGCTGGTTTCCAGCTTAACTTTAAAGCAGTCCAACATTTTATCTACACTATGATTATCAACAACTGAACTGGTAAGTTCACATAGTTTTTATTAATTAACAGCAATGAACACCCATCCTCCAGTAGAGACACGGTCTTTACGGTACAATTTATACTCGGTTTGAAAAATTTGGTTGTCTGTAATTAATGGATCTTTCCAAGTCTCCAAGGTACCACTGATTGTAGGTTTCGCACATAATACCCTTTAATATCGTCCCAAGTAACTGGAAGATCACAAGTTCCACATGGGTAGGAAGAATCAGCAGGTCCGGGGTTACTTTCAACTTCATTTGATCTTGCAATAAGGATGTGAATAAGGAACACTTACAAGAACTTTGTGTTCTCTTGGTCATTTAATATGCTCTTTTTACTCACTTGTCTGAGGATGGTAAAATTTAAAGTATGCACTTTCACTGTTAAGTCATGATTTTGATTAGACAGAGGAAATTCGGATTGTGAATGGAATAGATATCACAAATAAGATGGATAGAGGGAACATTATTTTTGGTACAGATACATACAGTTATCACGGTCAGTCGAAGATTGAATGGCTGAATCTGTCGGTGCAGGGTCTTTTAGGTTCGGGGGTATTTTTTGACTTTCTTTGTATTGAATGTATATATCTTGTTAAAAGTTTTAGTTCTTTAAACTCGAAAATGTTTTGACGGTTTGTCGATTGTGATACAATTTCTTTCTGAGGCAACGTAATTTTTTAATATTCCTCATTAATAGATTGAATGCAATGGCAATTTTATATGCAAAGAATTCTGAATTACTGCGATTCACTTTGAAAAAAAAATAGAAATAATTTGAACAGTGCATTTCCTAACATAAAGAAAACTCTTCATTTACTCATGTCAATCAATGATCCATCCTTTATTTTTTTTATTATATACATGTATATATAGATTATTTTACAGATCAAACAAGCTTTTTTGTACGTTTAACTTTTTTTACTGCATAATTCTGAAGATATTTTTGCTTGTTTATACTATAGTTTGCTATGGCAAACGCGGTAAAAGTTTTACGCCAAATTCTTTGTGACGTCAGCAAACCCGCGATCTACCTTAAATCTGGCAATAGTAGGACATAGAATAGGCCTAGATCTATTGAAAGATTTCATTATCAGGTAAAAAAAGGTCTTCCGTATACCTAATCACGCTATTATGAACTGATGATGTAACATGGTTACACATATTTATAGATTAAGGTTAATACGTTGAACCCACTTTGACATGTGCAATGGATATTTTTGTCACCTGAAAAAGTGATAATGAGATTAGCAGTTAAACTACTAGTTGATCCACGGTTTCAGTCTAGCAGCCAGAGAGTTCTTTTAATAACAAAATTGTGTTAAGGCAATTTCACCCTAACAATTCCTATGGATCAAAGTACAAAACTACATTTATTTTCATTTAATATACTTGAAATTTTCTAATTATTACAATAAATGTATAGGTCACCAAATCTTTAATGATGGAAAATATAAATAAGCAGAAGTATAGGTCAACAACAAAAAATTGCACATTTTTTGTAAACAGTACCGTGAAAAATATGTAAGAACTGGTTAAAATGCATATTCTGATGCTGAATGTTCATAAATACTTCCTACTTATAAGATACTTTTGAATTGTGAATATCAAGGAAACTATTTTATATTAGAACTACAAAACAGCAAATGCCTGAATGAAGATACCTCAGAAGGAGTTATGGCCATTGTAAACATTTTAAAGATTGAATAATTAGATAAATAAAAAAAATATGCATTTTTTTAAAATTCTTTTATTTACAATGTAACAATATTTATAAGTACACCTATTGTAAAGTATTTCTCCAAAAAATATTGTTCCATTAGGTATGAATTTAAACTAAAACAGTTTTTGCAAAAACCTGTGACATCATAGGAGGGTGGAATAACCTTAACATATGCATTTTTACAATATATTTTTATTACCCCTAATAAATTTCTGTCTGATAAAAATGTATGAAAATAGTACAAATTACACACCGAACTGTGAATTGCTGAGTCAATTTGCATCAATTAATTATCACGTGATGTGTGCCCCCCCCCCCCCCCACTGCATAATGATGCTATTTTATATCCATAAGTGGTATTATCAAATTCACTGCAAATGACCATGTTCAGATTGCAGGAGATTTGAAGGTAATTAATGTCATATAATACATAAATTAAAATTTAAAAGGTTACTACATTAAGTCTGACCAAGGCAATTTTTGTGATTTTATGGCATAGCCTTTGTTTCAAGTTAAAACTACAGTAGTTTTTAAACATTTTTATCGGCTATATGTTTATCAAACATATTGATATACTGACAAAAAAATCTCAACCCCCTTTTCTGTTTGAATTTCATTGCCAATGCATCAAATTCTTTTGATATTATATATTTAGAGATTTAGACAGAAAATGATTTATACCGGTAATAATTTTGATTTACTTGAGCGGAAGAAATGCATGAAATCTGCAGAACACCATAACAAACAGATAAAAGTTACACTCGCAAATACTTTCTATGCAAAATTAATTTAAAATTTAAAATAAAAAAAATTCCTTAAACAAGCAAATTTCAAATCAACACAAGGCCAATGATCTTATACATGTATGACAACATAACTTTCCTGACAGATTTTTCTGAATGGTACATAGACAAGATTGTATATCGTATGCAGAAGAAGAAATGATTATATTTTTTCACTGTAATCATTGTCAAAGCTAAGTGTGAAAGTTACATAATGTAGGTATTAAACATGAAGGCAAGATATTAATAGAATTTGAATTAATGGGAGGGGAGAAAGATTATTTCAGGATGAGACAGTGAGTGTGGCAAAGATAGGGGAAATATAAATCTTGCTTTGTAATCCTTTTAATTGTTTTATTTTCGTAGTCTTTATATTAAAAACTGTATTTAGAATAAAACCAAGTATGTCTTTTAACAGATGTGCTAAATCCATTTGAATGGCTCTCCAGAAAACTGTATTGCTGAGCTCTGTTCTCCTCTCAGTGTGTTGGGGTGCCCTACAGGGCCAGAGGAACGTTCCTCAGTACCATGAGCTGATGAGACAGGGTCATGTCAAGCTAAATCAGGGGGAGTCTGAACCCGATTTTATCCACAGATTCAATGGTACCACTATGCTTCAGGTATGACAAATTTATAAATCAAAATCATTTTTTTAATTGGATTAAACGTTATATCTAAAACTCTGTTGCTCTCTATACAGATGCTTTCTCTTTTATGAAATTTCCAAAACTGAGAGGTTTTTAATTTTGTAGAAAATGCTATCACTGGACTCAATGTATGACCAGTTTTTGCTCCTTAAGAAGGAATTTATGACTGATCTCGGGTCTCCGATCAAAATGTCGGGGGGTTGTAGTGTTGGACTTCAGCTATTACTTGATGGTTTGAAGGAAAGAAGTCTCTGGTCTCTAAAAAGTAAAAACATGCTTATCTTTTTCCATATTTATAAACAGCAGTATCTCAGTATTTGAATAAATTTCATTTACTTTAAGAATATTTCAATGGAAAACAACAAACATTGACAAAAAATGTGTACTGCAAATTTTGCAGAAACATTTCTTAGACTAAAGAGAAGAAATATTGCCCTTCATTGCAGAATTATTTGGATTTAAAATTTCATACTCACTAACTGACTGATGTGCTCAAGTAACAGATTTTGTATTTCAGTGCTTGATGCCATAGGAAAAGTTCCCAGTGGTATATTTGACGGTGATTTCATATGGCCCGGTCAGTATGATGGGTGTAACGCAATAAGTCAGGCATTCACAGATAGAATCACTTTCAATGAGACTTTCCTGGTTCGAGGGAAATATTTTGTTGCAGGATTGTTGAATCCTTTGGTAAGATTTTACATGTTTTTTGAAATTGTAAAAAATAAGACAGATGATTCAGTGTTCCAAGAGGGTGGTAACGTCAGTTCAATTTTTTTCATGTTACTCCTCAAAATTTAAGATTATTTGAAACATGTTAAATAGATTAGGAAAAGGTTAGGATTTGTATGGTATCTTCCAAATATATAATTTATTTATTAATATTTATGCATTAAAGCTTAAATCAATGCTTAGACATTTCACATCTCAGATTTAATTGGTAGTGCATTCGACTGCGGGAGTGATATCTAGTTAATTGTAGACAAAAATGCTATGGTAAGAGATTTGTAAAATAAAAACAATTAAATGACCATACATTCTATCTGTTTCACAGGGGTATAACACCACTGATCTTATGATTGGGGTCTGCCTGCCTGATGCATGTACTGCTACTGATGTTAAAGAAGTGTTGGAATTAGGTCTGAACTTAAAATTTAATTAAGACTGGTTAAACTAAATGTCTACCTGTTTTGACTTCAAGGAGAAGTTTGTGACAGTTCTTATAGTGTATCATTACATGTGTCCATCTTTCTGATATTTGTTGTTCAAGTCCAGGTCTGGGGGCCATAAAACTTAGACGAGCTCACTTTTGATCTCAGTCTAACTTTTCACTATATATTCCTTTGGTTAAAGTGAGACTGGGATCAAAAGTGATCTCGTCTAAGTTTTATGACCCTCAGCCCTGGTCTAGGAAAACAGACAGATGCAGATCTTTGGAAGGATGATTAAGACATATTTTGTGTCCTACATAATAAAATGTGGAAATGTTTTCAGTCTGTCTTTCAGCTATTTATCGTATTTATTCTTTATTGTGCCAACAACTCCATACCAATTGACTAAGCTAAATTTTGAATGCGTCAATTTAATATGTACACGTACAGTATTAATGTGAACTATGGTTTCAACAAGAGAAACAACCATTAAATTACTGCAGATTTCATTTGGCTGTTTCCCAACTTTAAAAAGGGCTCTTTGTGTCAAGATTTTTAATGGGAACACATACATAGACATCTTTTTTTCCAAAGATATACTAATAATTTCAAGATAAAGTTCAGACTGACTCTCTTCAACAATTTTTAAGGCTGGGTGAACCTTGCGATTTTTTTTGTTTCAGATGAAAATAATAAAATTAAATCGATCTTTTTTTTCTTCTACAGCATTTTTAGAGCTGTATCAATATACAAACAAAACAATCAAGCTTTCTCTGAAATATGTGTATCATCAAGAAGTAAAATACAAGAGCTCTCCAGAGTTTATTGCTGCCAGGTAATCTGTTATAAAACAAATATTACCGTATTACTTGTGCAGTATATATAGGTAAATTCATAAAATTGGTAGATTAGGTTAGGAGCAATTATGAATGTTTAATGTTAGAACTACAGAATATATTTTCTTCTTTGAGAATATGTAGTCCACTGTACATCTTTAACATCATTTCTTAAAAACTGAAATGTAATTGTATTTTATGTATTTGAAGAGAATAACATCCATAAATACAGTTGAATACACTAACAATCAGCTTCATTGTAATTGTGTTTTTTGGCTTATGAACATGACAAACATGTACAATGTTTAATATATTTTTCAGTGTGATCTGTTCCATCATTGGCTTTCTATTATTGCTGGGCACTCTTTACGACATGTTTATAAATCAAGGTGTCGACTCCTCGGAAATCGGAGATGTGAGGATTGATAAACAGGACAGCAACGCACAGTCCCTTAATTCGGACACTACACATCTGATCTCGGATGGAACTCTAATATCTGTCCTGTCATTCAGAAACAAGGTCTTACACAACAGTAAGTTTTCCTTTTTGTAATACCTTTCCAAATTCGGTCCTCATAAATTTGTACCTAAAAAGTCTAATAGTTCTAATGATTTGCTGAGCCGTAGAAAATAAACTGATGTTTAAACTGCTTATGTCACAAAATGGACTGAATCAGCCACTGTAAACCAACTATTTTTTGTGCCATCTTTTATTATCCATTCGTCACTTTGAAATCAACCTACGAAATTAATTTTCAGGACTGAATAAATATTTCTCTACAAATATAACCAAAATGATTGGTTCTCGATTAATGTTTGTGAGTTAAAGTTGGGCATGGAACCTGTGGATATTTATCAAACACAAATAATAGTTGGTTTACAGTAAATCTCTGTTGTATTTCTTTGGTTTACAGTAAATCTCTGTTGTGTTTGTTTGTGTTCAACAGTGATTTGAATTGACCAGTTAAAACTCTGGTATAGGAAGATATCACTGAAGCCACTACAAAATATATTTTTCTTTAATAAATATGGTATTACAATTAAACATTTGTTGACTGCGATCGCAGACAATATATGTTATTTCAAATTCTCAAATCAAGTAATTTGACTCGTTGATGTGATATATATAGATGCATATTGCTTTTAAACCCAGTCAACAATATGTAAATATAATTATATAATGATCAATATTCAATGGGGAATGCATATGTATCTTTAATAACTGGCATTATGATTAATTTTCATTGCTGCAAAATATGGAGAAAGATAGATTTGGTAAAAGATATCTATCTTTGCTAGATAAGGGTTTTGGTCCATTCTGCTGCTACCAATACATGTACCGCAACCTGATACAGCAGAAAGCATTCTTTCCTACAGAGAATGAATACATTTTCAGACTGTATTTATGCATTATACATATACTGTATGTATATTTTTTAGGTAAATTAAGGAAGTTTTTACTGACTTTTTCAATCAGCACTAATGGCAGTAAGGTTTTCAACACTGATGCGCTCCCTCCTACCTCGGTGCCCGCTCTCAATGGGGTGAGGGTCCTCAGTATGGGCTGGGTCATACTGGGCCACACCTATTACTTCACACAGGGCTTTGCAAGTACGACTGTATTTAACATGTTTAAGGTTATTTGTTTGCTTTTGCTGTCATTTCACATTCTTGCATTAATAGCAAGGCATTGTGTGTATACGTAATTCTATTTCGTCATAATAACCCCCGGAATGATGTGAGATATAGTAGTATGCATGTAAAAGTAACGATGCTACCAAAAAGAACTCTTACGTCGAGATTCAGGGAACAAAGACCAGCAAACATGGTAGTTCTGTTGGTAATACGGTAAGCGTTACAGGTAGAAGGTCCAGCGGAACGAAAAAACCTGTGAACTTTGTGGCCGATGTCCATAACAGCGGTAGTACACAAAACGATAATCAAATATTTACATTTGCAAATGTTTTTCTTTACATAACACTACTGAAAGCAAGTGTTTTTATAACTGTATAAATACAGGTACGGGGTCAAGAAGTCATAGATGTGCGTTTGGATAAACGTTCGACGTAATCTCTGAATGACGTCATAAAGGGTCGACGCGCGTTTAGTGGATTACATACATGCCGTTGGGTTTGAAAAATAACGCATTTCGCACGTTAAAAGTAACAATCAGGCAAATTTAAAGTATGAATAAGTCACAAATGTAAATATAAGTAATAAGGTATCATTTTTTTTAGTTTTATTGAGATGTAAAACGGGTTGGCACATGATCAAATCTTCCATAAAGCCCTTCGGGCTTTATTGGGTTTGATCACTTGACCAACCCGTTTTATATCTCAATAAAACTCAAAAAAATGATACCTTATTTCTTAAATAATGTGTATAACTGAATAAAATTCTTAAAAACCAGAAAAAAAAACAAGATAAACAAATTGCTACATTGAACAATAAGATCAAAATAGAAAACAAATTGCAAGAATCTGACGATTATAAAAGTTACGATGATGATCAAGCATGCGACGAGAGTTGTAGTAATGTTCAGCGTATTGATAATAATGTTGAAAATTTTTACTGATTTTCTCAGTCAGCACAAATGGCAGTAAGGTTCTGAACACCGATGCCCTCCCCCCTACCGCGTTGCTCGCTCTCAATGGGGTTAGGGTACTCAGTATGGGCTGGGTCATTCTAAGCCATTCTTATTCCTTCACACAGAGTATTGCAAGTACGTTTGTACCATATATTAATTTTTGCTTGTGTTGTCATTTTACATTCTTGCATAAATCCTGTCTATAGCCAGGCATTGGGTGCTATTTTTTGGGCGAGGTATTTAAGTACAAGTACTGCTAATTTGTATAGAGTACATCAGGTCAGCTGCATAGTGAACCATTTGTTGAATTGTCATATGGTTTGTTTCATGAAACTGAGGACACACATTGATGTTTTGAGTGTTCCTTTAAAAGATTTTATTTAGAGTGTACTCTATCCCTCAACAGATGTGAAAGCTTGGAGAATTTTAGATGTTTTAACACTTTGTTGAATTACTCTCTTTATTAATATTTTTCTCTCAAGGAATATTGTACCTATTGTACCTAAATGGTCCCACAGATGGACTTTCCAGATCGTGATCAATTTCAATTATGCCGTGGATTCATTCTTTTTGCTCAGGTATGTAAAAAGCAATGTTTTTTATCGTGTCTTGTACGATTTTTCAATCTTTATACCCCCTGCTTGAAAAAGTGGGAGGGTATATAGTAATCGGTATGTCCGTCCGTCCGTCTGTTACGCTTTGGGGTACCCATCTCTTATCCAAAACTCCTCTCATACCACTGAAGGAAATTTAATGAAACTTTTACAGAAGGATATGAAGATAATGAACAGTATTCAATCTCAAAGTCCATAAAACAATACAAATTAATAGCAGAGCAAACACGGACCCCCGAAACATCAGAGGTGGGATCAGGTGCCATGGGGGAGTGAGCATCCCCTGTCGACCGGTCACACCCGCTGTGTGCTCCTTGTCATGATCAGGAATAACGGAAAAATTCGTCTTCAATTCAGTGTATAAATAATGGACTAACAATTGGTCGTCAGTCAGCATTTGACTCAATGATAACCTGTATTTGCTGACAAGGTTATTGTATCTTTATTATTTCATTACATATTGCCATTGTGCACCTCCTATTTTACTTTTTGATCTGACATATATTTTGGAGTTTCCAGAATAAAACATGAATACTGCCATGCTATTCATATGGGAGGCGGCGGGGGTATTATTTAGTGAGCTCATTGCTCACAGTACCTCTAGTTTTATATCTGTCACTAGAATGATAATTTCGATAAAAGAAAATAAGTAATGCACTACAAGAATGTATAATTAGGGCTTATGCATATGCTAGCCTTTTAAGGAGCAGACTGTACCCCAAAATTGTGTTAAGATAGAAGGTCTGCAGTTACACTGATAAATGACTAACTCCACCTGTTTTATACACAACTATACATGTATATCAAAGTACGTCGTAATTAATATCGATATAATACATGTAGATGTCCATGATTTCATTGATTTGATTGAAATAATTCTATTTTCAGTGGTTTTTTATTGAGTTATTTGACTCTTAAAGAATTACAGAAAAGAGACGGAAAGTTGAACTGGTTACTATTCTACTTCCATAGATACTGGAGGTGAGGATAGTCATATTTATAATGACATACTGGTATATATTTAACCCCCGCTTGAAAAGTGGGAGGGTATATAGTAATTGGTATGTCCGTCCGTCTATACGTCCGTCCGTCCGTCTGTTACGCTTTGGGGGTATCCATCTCTTATCTGCAACTCCTCTCACACCACTGAAGCAAATTTAATGAAACTTTCATGGAACCTTTATTACATACGAGGGTTGTCCAAAAAGTTCGTGGACAATGACGATTTAGTGAAAATTAATGGTTCTGTATAAATCTTTTGTATATCAAAATATTTCTTATGAAAAAACAAATCAGAATGATTTAATTTTTATTGATGGAAAGTAATATTTTTGTAAAAATCGGGGTCTTTAAAGGTCGCGGATAGTGCGCACGGACCAAGATTAAAATGACATAATCTCTGATATAAAGTGTTTGGATTAAAATGATTATTTTCTATATAAGACAAGTCCAAAATTAATAAAAATTTTATGTAACACAAATAAAGAGGCTATAATCATTTTATGATATCTTAAGTATCGCATACTATACAGACAGTACAAATACTAAACGAAAACCCTCACAAATATATGTCAAAACTCGACAAAAAAAAGCGACGTCAGCCGTCCGCACGGGGCAGCGTCCGATCAAAAAATAAGTTTTTATGCGGTTGAAATGACTTAAGAGACAAAATATTTGTTAAAATAATTTAAAACTATTGAAATATATTTAGTGTATCAATTTCAGATTGGTATATACGATTTTTCAACTGTGTGTACAAATTTGAAGACACTACAAGAATTTAAAAACACATGTAATTTACTGAAAATGGAGATTTCTGTTTATGACGTTGTTATAAATCTAGCGCAGCGTCGGACTGGGCTGTGTAGTTTGTTTATACAATCTGTTTATTTAGATGACGCTCGTAAATTTTTATGCATTGTTTTGAATCTTAAAAATTAAATAAATTATAATCTATACTTAAAGATTATTGCTAGCTCTAGAAAGTGCGTTGCGCCATAAAAAAAGAAATGAAGTGTGTGTCCATGAACATGTGTTAAGTCAAAATCCAAATGTTTGACGTTATAATGAAATTAGCTTAACGTCAGACTGGTCCGTGCGCGCTATGCGCGACCTTTAAAGACCCCGATTTTTACAAAAATATTACTTTCCATCAATAAGAATTAAATCATTCTGATTTGTTTTTTCATAAGAAATATTTTGATATACAAAAGATTTATATAGAACCATTAATTTTCACAAAAACGTTATTGTCCACGAACTTTTTGGACAACCCTCGTATTGCCATTGTGCACCTCCTATTTTACTTTTCGATCTGACATACATTTTGGATTTTCCAGAGCAAAACATGGATACTGCCATTATATTCGTATGTGAGGCGGGGGTATTATTTAGTGAGCTCATTGCTCACCGTACCTCTAGTTCTATTTCAACTATGTAATATCTATCTAGCTGCATTTACAAAACGATTGATTACTTCAAAAACAGTTGTGTACTGTATAGTATTGGAGAAGAATAGACTTCTCAGCAAACTAGAGTAAATATGATGAAGTGCATAATTATCGGAATATGCCAGATCGATAATTATGTGTTTCAGACATTAAGTACTTGTGCCTGATCTCGTAAGAAGCTGCTTTCGATCAAAGGTGCAAAAAAAACCAGCAATCCATGTAATATATTTATTTTATATTGAATGTGTATTCTTTGTTTATAAAACTTATGAATTAAATATAACTGATTTTATCTTAGCAATCTTAGCAGCTTTTAACAAAAAAATATTATATTACATTGATATCCTGAAAACAAAATTTGCATAAAGAAGAAAACAAGTCCTGTTATTTAGGTTGACCCCTACCTTTATGCTGTTTATCCTGGTGTACACGGCCTACTTCCAGTATAGGGGGTCGGGACCTCTCTGGACCCTGACGTCCCCCGACTACCAGAAGTGTAAGGATTACTGGTGGAGGAATATTCTGTATATCCAGAACTTCTTTACCGTCAGTGAAGAGGTAAACTTGATTTAAGACATCTGATTAGAATTCTCCTAACTGGGGCACAATTTGTGATCTGTTGCTGGCATAGGCACTTGGGGGTATGACCCCCCCCTTTCCATTTTTTTCTTTGTTATCCTTTGGTTCGAGTCACCTTTCGTCCAAGATGGTGCAAATGAACAAAATTTATCCTAGATGGGGGTGATTTCATCGAAATATTTACAAATCGGGGGCACATAAAAATTAAAACGAAATAGGAAAAGGAAGTGGAATGATTTTAATAAGAAATTTATTATTGTATGTATACCCCATCTCTTATTCTGATTTAGATAAATAATCGAGCGAAGTTAAAGCGAGGTGAGGTGGATGACGAGAAAAGAGTTACAAGCCTTCTCTCTTTATATGTACATGTTTCAGTCGAAAACAATATATTTAAAACCAATTTGTAGAGACAAAAGAGTTTCATTTTTGATAAAATATACTGCATATTAGAATTAAAAAATAGGACCCCAAGTGCTTATGGTTGCTAGATGGTATACAGTATAATGTTGATATACATACTAATTGTTAGTCCATTATTTGCCCTGAATTGACGAAGGATTTTTCCGTTATTTACCGATCATGACAAGGAACACATGGCGGGTGTGACCGGTCAGCAGGGGATGCTCACTCTTTCATGGCATCTGATCCCATCTCTGATGTTTCGGAGGTCCATGTTTGCTCTGCTCCTATTTTGTATTGTTTTATAGACTTCGATATTGAATACTGTTCGTTATCTCCATATCCTTCTTCATGTCATTTCTATGATATTTATACCCCCCCCCCCGCTTGAAAAGTAGGAGAGTATACTGTAATCGGTATGTCCGTCCTTCTTTACATCTAGCTGTCTGTACGTCCGTCCGTCAGTCCGTCTGTTACGCTTTGGGGTACCTATCTGTTATCCGCAACTCCTCTTATACCACTCAGTGAAATTTAATGAAACTTTTCACAGAATCTTTTTTACATATTGCCATTGTGCACCTTCTATTTGACTTTTTGATCCGACACATAAATTGGGTTTCCCAGCCACAGCAAAACATAGACTTTTCCATTATAACCATATGGGAGGCGGGGTATGATTTAGTAAGGTTATTGCTCACAGTACCTCTAGTTTGGACCAAATTCGGAATTCATTACACAGTTGTTTAACTTCATGTTGTCCATCTGCTCTACAGCATAACTCGTTTAGTACGGACATGGACATTGCGAATTTACAGAATCTGATATAACGAAGTCATATTGGATCACCAGTTATATAAATATAACGAATCCTTTATATGGATATATCGAATTCCGGATATAGCGAAGTAATTTCACATGTTCTGTGACCTCGTTATAACTGATTTTCACTGTATATTATTATTGTGAAAATTGATAAAAGTCTATTCCATTTTCTAATACATATATAGAATTAATATTTTGTACGAGGGTTGATCCAAAAGTAATGTCACAGTGTCCATATTTTTTATATTTGGTGTCATATTATCAAATACAATATACCAAAAGATGCACAAATACAAATCTAATAAACATTAAAATTTTAATTTAATAATGTTAATTTGAATTTATTTTATAGATGTTTAAAACATAAAGCAGAGGGGGTGTCGCCGCGTCGCAAATGAACATCACATTTTAAAGTGTATTTTTTCTTAGAATGAAAAATACAAACATTGAAAAGATTCTAAAAAAGCACCAAATCTCTCATTTTTTTTTCAAAAAGACACAATTCAAGTCATTTTCTTGTCTTTAATTGAAAATAAAATGACGTCATTGGCACTTGTGATCATAAACATTGTTGTTTTACTCTTGAATTGAACAAAGGGATTGTCGATATGTGGAAAAAACGGCTTGGTGAGTTGTCATGCAATTTTGCTTCAAAATATGGGAATCATCACTAGCGACAGTTACGTTAATTAATTAGACTTAAAGAATAAAGAATGTAAACAAGAGACTTCTATAAAGATGGTTTCAGTAATTTTGAGCGGATGATGGGTCATTGAATGATCAGCAGAGGGCAAAAAGACCGAAAGATAGGAGATCGGACGTAAACGTTAAATGGTGTCTGACATTGTCAAAAAACATCAGACGGATAGAGCGACATTTGAATTTGTAAGTTTGCCTTATGCTACTGTTAAAAAAAATTGACAGAGGGCTTAACTATGAAAAGAGTGAGTGTATAATGGTACTAAGAATTCGTAAAAAGTGAAGTTGGTGAAAGTGTTTGCGAATCACAAATATTTTTTAATGAAACGAAGGGGAAACGCTTCAAAGTATGATGGAGCGTATCCATCATATGACGTTCTATTTAGGTGCGGCGAGTACCATAAACACAAATTGTTTAAAATCCGATATTTTGGAAAGTAAACATCACATTCTTTTGAATTTTCCAGATCTGATTTGAAATAAGTAAAGCTTTCATCAAGTATAATGTTGTTTTACGTCGATTTATAGCAATTTTATCAAAGTTGTGACATTACTTTTGGATCAACCCTCGTATATTCTTTTTACTGTACATAAACAATAAATTTTCTGCAATAATTGCTTTAACAAAATATGACCCCATGCATATATGTTGCTATCTTAATTTTTAGTGCATTGGTTGGGGTTGGTACCTTGCAACTGACATGCCTTTTTTTTGTAATTTCACCATTTATAATATACCCTTTGTACAGGTAAGTGTTGTACTGTTATTTTTCTCGTGAACCTTAGCAGAAAAAACATGTTTATAGCAAAGATGCTTATAATGAATTAATCTACGCTTATTAAGAAATGATTTTTATACCCCATGACTCAATTTAAATTAATATATACATGAATTGTATAATTTTTTGTAGTATAATTGAATATACATAGGATCTCCCATAATTTGTAGTTAGTTTTGATTTTTATCCAACGAGTTGTGTGTTGTTTATAAAAACACAAAACAAATTGGATAAAAATCATATCCAACTACAAATCATGGGATATTCTTATTATCTCAGGTTTGATACTTATTATACCCCCCGCTTGAAAAGCGGGAGGGTATATAGTGATCGGGATTTCCGTCCGTCCAGCTGTCCGTCCGTCCGTCTGTTACGCTTTGGGGTACCCATCTCTTATCCGCAACTCCTCTCATACCACTGAAGGAAATTTAATGAAACTTTCACAGAGTCTTTATTACACATTGCCATTATGCACCTCCTATTTTACTTTTTGATCTGACATATATTTTGGATTTTTCAGAGCAAAACATGGACACTGCCATTATTTTCATATGGGAGGCGGGGTATCATTTAGTGAGCTCATTGCTCACAGTACCTCTAGTTTGATTAGATTTTTCTATGTACTGGTATATAGAAACTAAAAATATACTTGATAAAGAAGACTTTTAATATCAGGAGCCAACATCGTTAAAAAAATGACATTTTTTGTGTATTAACGAAAAATAATAAAACTATTATCCAGAAAAGTCAGATTAGAAATGCGAGAACAAAGCCAACACATCAGTTTTGTCAGTCCGTGCTCAGTGGTGTGTGCAGAGTTTAACAATAGAACACACCCAGTGAAACGTAAAACAACTAGAGGTGCTGTGAGCAATAAGCTCACTAAATGATACCCACCGCCTCCCATATGAATAAAACGGCAGTGTCCATGTTTTGCTCTGAAAAATCCTAAATATATGTCAGATCAAAAAGTAAAATAGGAGGTGCACAATGGCAATATGTAATAAAGATTCTGTGAAAGTTTCATCAAATTTCCTTTAGTGGTATGAGAGGAGTTGCGGATAAGAGATGGGTACCCCAAAGCTTAACAGACGGACGGACGGACGGAATTAACGATTACTATATACCCTCCCGCTTTTCAAGCGGGGGGTATAATAACTAGAGGTACCGTGAGCAATGAGCTCACTAAATGATACCCCCCGCCTCCCATAATGTCGATGTTTTGCTTTATATTGTTTTACGGTAATGTGTAAAGAAGAATAAATCGTCCTATCAAATGTTATCCAGAAGCTTTTATTATGTGACGTCATAGGTAAACAAAAAATGGCAATGTCCATGGTTTGCTCTGGGAAACCTAAAATACGTTTGCTCTCACACTATACCACTCTGAATTTTTATGCCCCCGTAAAGGAAGTTTCGGGGGTATATAGTTTTTGTCGTGTCCATCTGTCTCTCTGTCTGTTTGTCCGCAAAAACTTTAACCTTGTCCATAACTTTTGATTTAGTAGAGCTGTGACTTTCATATTTTACATGTGTATTCCTTGTGACAAGACCTTTCTTTGGTTACCACCAAATTTGACCTTATGATCTTGAACTTGGAATTTGACCCACTTTTACACAAAAAATTCAAATTTTTACTTTGACCATAACTTTTGAACAGTAGATACCAGGACATTCATACTTCACATATGTATTTTCTGTGGCAAGATCTTTTACTTGATACCACCAACCTGGACCTTTTGACCTTGACCTTGGAGAATTACGTAATATCGAAAAAACTTTAACCTTGGAAATAACTTTTGAACGATAAGGGCTAGAGCTTTCATACTTCACATATGTAATCCTTGTAAGAAACGCTTCATTGGATACTAAGAGCGTAGACCTTTGACCTTGAAGTTTGACCTACTTTTAAAAAATAAACTTTGATCATATCTTTTAAAGGGTAAGAGCTAGTGCTTTCATACTTTACATATTTAATCCTTGTGACAAAACCTCTCATTTGATATCAAGATTTTTGACCCTTTGACCTTGTCCTTACAGTTTGACCTACTTTTAAAAAATCTTAACCTTGGCCATAACTGTTGAACGGTTAGGGCTAGAGCTTCCATACTTCACATATATATTCTTTGGAGCAAGAGCATTTATTGGATACCAATAATCTTGACCTTTTGACCTTGACCTTGGAGATTTCCGTATTTATGAAAAAACATTAACATTGGCAATAATTTTTAAAGAGTAAGGGCTAGGGCTTTCATACTTCATATATGTAATTCTTGTGATAAGGCCTTTCATTCAATACCAAAAACCTTGACCTTCTGACCTTGATCTTGGAGACATGGGATTTAGACAAACCCTTCAGAAGATTATAAAGTTGGGCCATCTATTTCCCTGTATGACCAAATTTGCTGCTATTGGACTTGTGCTACCTGTTTCTACAGCAGACTGTAAGAGATGTTTTTCCTGCTTGAAAAGACTTAAGACTCCATTAAGAAACAGAATGGGACAGAAAGTGTTGAACTGCTTAGTGAACATTTCATGTGAAGGATAGCCTCTTGAAAAGTTTGATTTTGAGAAAAGTGCAGTAATTTTTGCCAAAGGAAAGAACAGAAAAATTTCTGTATAAATACTAGTCATAATTAAAATGTACTTAGACTCTCTTGTGGTGTATTTTATGAGAATGCATGCATTATATAGTATAAAATGGTTAAAGTATTATAACACGCGGCGCGCATGCCTCGTCCGGGGATGCGTTTCGCTGCACCGCGCTCTGATTCAGGCAAACTTCCCCCCATGCATAAAAAAAATTTCTGGGGAAAACACTGGAAGTATAACGTACTAGTATAATCTTTTTAACCTTGACCATAACTTTTGAATGGTTAGGGCTAGGGTTTCCATACTTCAGACATGTGATCTTTTTGTCCTTAGATACCAATAACCTTGACCTTCTGACCTTGATCTTTAAGATTTCTGTACATATGAAAAAACTTTAGCCTTGCCATAACTTGGGAAAAGATGGTGATAGGGCTTTCATGTTTTACAATTGTATTTCCAGTTAGGAGACTCTACTTTGGGTACCAATATATTACATTTGCATCTAAGAAAAGTTCCATCTTCACAATGTTGCCATACGGGGGCATCAGTGTTTCACAAACACATATTGTTTTCATTAATACACAAAAGAATTGCCATTTCTTTTTAGCTATTAAGGATAAAGTTAAATTAAGGGACAAGGTGACGAGATAAAAATATAAAGTAAATAGAAAAGTCTTGTCACGAGCAACACACATGCAAGTTTAATATGAAAACCCCATCTCTTTCTATTCAAAAGTCATGACCAGGGTTAATATTTTTAAAAAGTAAGTCAAATTTCAAGTTCAAGGTCACAAGGTAAAATAAAATAGTGTATTTAGAAAAGTCTTGTCACATGTAATATACACATGTTTAGTATGAAAGCTCTATCTCTTCTCACTCAAAAGTTACAGCCAATTTAAAGAAGTGTTTTAATTTTTCTAAGAGTAGGTGAAATGTCAAGGTCAAGATCACGGGGTAAAAGATTATTGTGTATTTAGAAACCTCTTGTCATAGGCAATACACAGCTTAGATATGAAAGCTCCACCTCCTCTCATTGAAAAGTAAGTACAGAGTTCATTTAAGTTATTGAAAAGTAGGTCAAACTTCAAAATCAATGTCACAAGGTTAAAAATCGTAGTGTATTTAAAACAATCTTGTCTCATTTAATACACATACACAATATGATAGCCTTAGCTCTTCTCATTCCAAAATTATGACCCGTGCAAAGTAATGTTTAAATTTTGAAAGTAGGTCAAACCTTAAGGTCAAGGTCAGGGGGTGAAAAAATCATAATGTATTTAGAAAGGTTTTGCCGTAGGCAATAAACATGTAATATGACAGCCCTATCTCTTCTTATTCAAAAGATATGACCAAGGTTAAATTTTTATGATGGACGGACAAAAATGCATCTCTCCCAACATACGAATGAGATTTAAATGTCCCCCTCGCTTTCGCGAAAGCGTGGGACAGTTCATCAATTCAGCAAAAACACATGGTTCAAATGTCTTCCTCGCTGTTTTATTATGCTAGGTACCGTGCTAGCTCATCAATCTTTTTTTTAAAGATAAGCTTGTACAGTTGTAATGGTCAACGACACTACTCGCCCTCAAATTTTAAGCATTCTGAGTAGGGTGCACAGCTGGGTAAAAGATATAAAAAGTAGAGAAAAATGAATTTCATTGCGGTGAAAAGGGACTAGTTTTAAGTTATAAATGAAGATAAAAGTTGAGAAAAACAGTATTCACAGTTAAAAGATGTAAAAACACCATTATATAATTAAGGTCTAGGGTGATTCAGTTTGCTAACTCCAGTTTGAAATGTTTAACATCTGGAAGTCAGAAAACACTGCCATCAATCTTTTCCACTGCACTATTGTAAGAGGGTAAAAAGAGTACTGTAAACAAACTTTGATTCGCGAAGACTTCATTTTGCAATTTTCCCGGGGGTTAAACTAGTTCGCAACGATTGCAAGGCTCTCGCGAACTTCGCGAAAATTTCTCGCACGCACATAAAAGTTGATCTACAGTATTTATAAACATTTTTTAGTTTATATATGTCGACAGGTGAGGGAATGAGATGTACGAGTAGTCCTACTGGGGGAAATGAAATGAAGTGAGGGGATTCAGACCATGTATGATCTTGTACATACATTGTTAGTACAAGCCTTGCATCCGTCCTCCTTTGTTGTAATCTTCGCCAACCTAAGGTGTCACTGTTTAATAAACAGGATACACTTGATGTTCCTAAATGTACACCAGGATCCGTGTTTATAGCATCAATGACAAGTCTTACGTGTTTATATTGTAAACATCGTCAAATTTTTTGAAAGAAATTGCATGGACTCATGAATAGAAATTTAAAGTAGAAGGTAAATTGTGGTATTGTACGGCACATTATTTAATTTTATTGCATTTTTTCTTTAACGACGATCGCCGGTTTACCGTCTGCCTGAAAACATACTCTGAAAGTAAAGTAGAAGGTAAATTGTGGTATTGTACGGCACATTATTTAATTTTATTGCATTTTTTCTTTAACGACGATACATGTAGCCGGTTTACCGTCTGTCTGAGAACATACTATGAAAATTTGTCAGCTAAATCCTCTCGTTTCGAATTGTTCTTTCTGCATTTTTTTCAGATTCGTCTGCATGCGTGGTTATATTGTAATTATATTTCAAGTGCACTGATGTTTATGAGAACAGGTGACGCTATTTCAATGAAATATATAATAAAATCCCCCCCCCCAGGTACGCCGTTCACACCAGCATTCGCATTTCAAAATCACGCTTGTAAAATTAAAATGAAGCAGACAAATTATATACCGTATATCCGTTTTTTTCAGGTGTTTGAAATTTTGCGAATAAGGGGTAGATTAGCACAGTTTTTATTCTGCGGAAGTTATTTTTCACGATTAATAATTTTTTTGTTTCAAATGGTAATGTTTTTCTGTCACATTATAGCTGACATAATTTCTGCGTGTTTTAAATTTTGCGAATTAAAATGATCGCAAAAAATGCGAAAAATTGATAAACGCAAAAAAACCCTCAACACAATGAAAATGAAGAAAATTTAGAATCGATCTATAAAGAAAAAATATGTGTTCTCTCTCAATTTCTTGCAAAAATATTGAAAAATTTGCAATCTTCATACAAAAAGAAACATTTTCAATAATGACGTTATACATGTATATATCGTTAGTCTAGGCGATCACTTGGTAACGGCAACTTCGTCATGAACAATTTTATAAAATAGGAAGAGTCTGGAGATTCGCCAACACTCTTCCAGTGCATGTCTGCCAATGTAGATGTTGAATCATGCAGTCCACACTTAATTTGTTACCTTCCCTGTTGCTTACGTATCGTACAGCACGTCGTTGGACCATTTCAAGATTACGGATGTCTTCTTGTATGTGGGGGTCCCAGACAAGCGCTGCATACTCCATTTGAGGTCTGACTAGTAATGATTTGTGTGCACTCTCGTTTATGGAAGTTGAGCTGATGTTAAAGTTTCGGCGGAGAAATCCCAAGGTCTTGTTACCGTTTCAGCGGATGTTACTACTGTGGTCCCTCCATTTCAAGACTGATGTTATGAGACAGCTCACTTGAGGTATTTTGCTCTCTCTACATGTTCAAGAATATGGTCATGTAATGTATATTGTTGATTTATTGGGTTGGACTTCCTGCCGACCAATAATACATTACACTTATCAGGAAAGAATTCCATTTTCCACATTTATTCACCTAAACTCAAATGCCCAGTTTATCTAGGTCTGCCTGGATTGTCTGAGTATCCAGTTCTGATGTAACAGTAAGAAACACAATAATGTCTTTAGCAAAAAGTCTTTCTGTAGCATTGAGACCTTCTGGCATGTCATTTATGTAGTCTACGAATAGGACTAAGCATGGCCCAAGATCTGACCCTTGTGCACTTCAGAGTCAACACTTACATTACTGGACATTCCTCCATCAACAGCTACAGCTTGTGTTCTGTTGGCCAGGAAGCTAGCAATCGAGTTGTTCACATTCTCCTGGATCCAATAATGTTGGAGCTTATGGATGAGGAGACTATGGCTAACTTTGTCAAAAGCCTCAGTAAAATCAATGATCAATACATCTGTCTGCTTTCCGGCAGCCATGTAGGAGGTTATGTCATCTATAAACTCAATGAGTTTGGATTCACAGGATCTTTTGCTACGAAAACCATGCTGAAGTGGGTATAGTATGTTGTTAAGATTAGCATGTAGCATAACATGGCTGGTGACAAAATGTTCCATAAGCTTGCAGCAGATACACGTGTCGATAGTTCTCAGTTTTTTAAGATATCTATCACCGGTACCTTTTTTGAAGATAGGGCTGACATGCTCTTTACACCACTCCGATGATATCTCTCCACTTTGTAAAGAGTATAGGGGTCGCGCTGTCAGCCAACTCCTTCAGCACTCTTGGTTTAATCCCGTCTGGGCCTGCTGCTTTATATGGATTCAGATTTTTCATTAGTCTTAGAATTCCATTATGGGTGATGTGCAGTTCTAGTGCAACTGGGTATTTTCTACTCATAGGACAGTTACATTTTAATTCTGCAGTACTGATATTGAGTGTGTGTTTTCTCTGAGAATACTGACTGGGATGTTTGATCAGCACGTCTGCCTGGTCAGTCGGATTGGCATGTAACACTCCTTTACTGTGGATTAGTGAGGTTCCTTTGTTCTCGATTCTTTTTTGTTTTATATAAGTCCAGAAGCGCTTTCGGCCGCTTTATTGACCGTCTTCTACTTTAGGTGTTACTATTCCCTCGATGTAGTTCCAGTATGCCCTTCTATACTCTCTTTCTACTTTCCACTTATTTTCTTTGAAATGTTCTTTTTCTCTGTTGTCTCTAAATTTCTTCTTCTTTTTACATAGTCTGTTTTTCATCTTTGTTTGGTATATTTTGCTTTATGCTCTTTTCCATGTTGGTTGTTAAGCACTCCCACATCTCATCTACACTATGATTATCAACGTCCATCTTTGATATTGTGTTTAGGGTTGATGTCATATTTTCTTTCATTGTATCCCAGCTGGCTTTGCAATATAAGAGGATTCTTCTAGGGGTTTAATGTTTCTTTAGGCTTTTGGTGTTTATTTCTGAAAAAACCATGTCATGATCTGAGATGCCTATAATAGTTTCTACTCTGATAAATTCTGATGGGCTGTTGGTCAGTATCAAATCCAGGGTATTTTAACCTCTTGTTGGGCATTCCACTAGCTGAACTAAGCCATTGTCATCCAGGATGTCTACAAATTTGTATTGGTTACCTGACCAGAGGGTATTTGGCTTTAGTGTCTTATTTGCCTAGTTCCATCCCAGTGGGTTGAAATCACCCGCAACAATTACACTTGCATTTCTTACCTGGTATACACGATTTAAGCTTTCATGTAGTGCATCTATCTAAAGATTCCCAATTAGCTGGTTTAGGGTTATAATATGTTGGAATGTATAGATCTTCCGTCCAACTAGACTGATCTTCGTCCAGAGCTAGTACGCACTTTCACAGTTAAGTAACGATTTTGATTAGACAAAGACAATTCTGGATGTAAATGGAAAATTTCTGGAGGTATCATATCATAAATAAGATGGGTAGAAGGAACATTAATGTTTGGTACAGATACATACATACAGTTATGATGGAATGCATATTCACATTTTCAATGTTTTCAACAATTTTCAATAAATCAATACCCAACAAGATTGCCATTTTTCCTAAGTATTAAGAATAAAATTAAAATTTGCAAGAGTGCAAGGATGTGTCAATCAACCCCATAAAATTTGAAGTTTTAATAACTTTAAGATGAAAAAAAGAAATTTAATATATTTTAGTGTGAAATGCTAATGCTATTAAAATATATAAGTTGTGATATTATACAGAAAATATTAACTTCACACATGTTTCTATGCACCTTTAAACATGAAAACAAGATATGATGGGTTTTCCACTCTCATAGTTTTAAAGGTTCAAAGTACAAAAACTGCATTTATTATACCCCCGCTTGAAAAGTGGGAGGGTATATAGTGATCGGGATTTCCGTCCGTCCGTCTGTACGTATGTCCGTCCGTCCGTCCGTCTGTTACGCTTTATCTCTTATCCGCAATTCCTCTTATACTACTGAGTGAAATTCAATGAAACTTTCACAGAATCTTTATTACATATTGCCATTGTGCACCTCCTATTTTACTTTTTTATTCGACAAGTGTTTTAGGTTTCCCATAGCAAAACATGTCCGGACATTGCCATTATATGTTTACCTATGACGTCACGTATATAATCTTCTGGATAACATTTGATAGGACGAGTTATTCCTCTTTACACATTACCGTAAAACAATATATAGCAACACATGGACATTATGGGAGGCGGGGGTATCATTTAATGAGCTCATTGCTCACAGTACCTCTAGTTTTCATTTAAATTTGACAATTATTGCAAAAAATTAATAGGTCGCCATATTTGTTTTCAAATGGGAGAAATAAATAACAGAAATATATGTCAACAGCATGAAAATCTTACATTTTTTATCAGTGCTATAATAAGTATGTAAAAACTGGTTCAAACGCATAATTTTGATGCTGAAAGTTCCAAAATACTTACTACTTATATGATATTTTTGAATTGTGAATATTAGGGAAACTATTTAACGTAAGAAGTACAAAAGAGAAAATGCCCAAATGAAGATACCAAGGAAGGAGTTATTTCCCTTGTCACATTTTTAAGATATTGATCAATTGACTAAATAAAGAAAATATACATTTTAAAAAATCTTTTATTTAACAATATTTATCATTACACCTATTGAAAAACATTCTGCCAAGATATATTGTTTTACTTGGTATGAATGTGAAATGACAACAGTTTTTGCAAAAACCTATGACACAAGAGGGTGGAAAGACCTTAAGGATTTGCATTATTAAAGCCTGAGAGACAGGTTCTTTCAGTTAGAGACAGTGAGTGTGTCAAGGATGGGGAAAATATAAATCTTGCTTTGTAATCCTTTTAGTTGTTTCTTCTTCATGATCTTTATATTTAAACTGTATTTAGAATGAAACCCAACATATCTTTTAACAGATGTACTAAATCCACCTGAATGGCTCTCCAGAAAACTGTATTGCTGAGCTCCGTTCTCCTCTCAGTGTGTTGGGGTGCCCTACAGGGCCAGAGGAACGTTCCTCAGTACCATGACCTGATAAATCAAGGTCATGTCAAGCTAACTCAGGGGGAGTCGGAACCGAATTTTATCTACAGATTCAATGGTACCACTATGCTACAGGTTTGTAATATTGATGATCTCGAACTATTTGTTTCATTTTGATATCTAATTCTCTGTTGCTTAATACAGATACTTTCTCTTTTATAAAATTTCCAAAACTGAGAAATTTTTCATTTTGTAGAAAATGCTATCATTGGACTCAATGTATAACCAGGCTTTGCTCCTAAAGAAGGAATTTATGACTGATATTGGGTTTCCACTAATCAAGATTTTGGATCATGGTTTAATATTTGTTATTATGAATTTATGACTGATATTGGGTCTCGAATTAAAATGTCGGCGGATTGTGTTGTTGGACTTCAGCTATTACTTGATGGTTTGAAGGAAAGAAATCTCTGGTCTCTTAAAAGTAAAAACATCTTTTTCGATATTTATGATTAGTATAAAAAAAAGTATATCAGTCTTTAAAGGTACTTGGACACAGATTTGAAGTTAATATTTTCTAATTTGTTCTGTATAATATCACGAAGTATATATTTTAATAGCATTTCACACAAAAATTAATTAAAAATCTTATTTCATTTAAAAGTTATTAAAACTTTAAATTTTTGGCGGGTTTGATTGACACATCCTTGCACTTTCACAAATTTTAACTTTATTCTTAATCCTTAGGAAAAGTGGCAATTTTGATGTGTTTTAATGAGAAATATTAAAACTTTTATCAAGAAAAATAATTTTATTCAGAGTAGAATTGTTAGAAAGCAAAACACCTTCACAAGTATCGTCATTCCGAACTAAGAGATGCGTACAGAGTTTAGCAAATCGAGCACACTCGTGTTATGTACACAGTTTTTGTAAACAGGACTCGAGTTCTGTTATTGTTTATATTTAGAATTCACCGGGTGCGTTCAATCGTCACAGTCTGCTTACCACAACTGCACGGACTGACAATATATTGTGTGTTTGTTTTGCTTTCGAACGTGTCTACTCTGAATTTTCTGGATTATAGTATTAATATTTTTCATTTATACAAAACGAGATTGCCACTTTTCCTAAGGATTAAGAATAAAATTAAATTTGTGAGAGTGCAAGGATATGTCAATCAAACCCGCCGAAAAATTTGAAATTTCAATATCTTTTAAACGAAAAAAGATTTTTAATTAATTTTTGTGTGAAATGCTATTAAAATATATAAGTCGTAATATTATAGAGAAAATAATAACTTCAAATCTGTGTCCAGGTACCTTTAAAGAAATATCATCTACTTTAAGAATAAATGGGTACTGCTAATGTTGCAGGGACATTTCTTATGCAAAAAAATAGAGTGATTGCCCTTCATTGCAGAATAAAATGTTTATTTGGATTAAAAATTTCATACTTACTACCTAACTAATGTGCTCAAGTGACAGATTTTGTATTTCAGTGCTTGATGCCATAGGAAAAGTTCCTAGTGGTATATTTGACGGTGCTATCATGTGGCCCGGTCAGTATGATGAGTGTAACGCAATAAGTCAGGCATTCACAGATAGAATCACTAATTACAAGACGATCGTGGTTCGAGGGAAATATTTTGTTGCAGGATTGAGGAATCCTTTGGTAAAATTTTGCATGTTTTTTTTGAAATTGTTTAAAATAAGACAGATGATTCAGTGTTCCCAGAGGGTGGTTAGGTAAACTATATAGCTTCAATTTAAATTTTTCATGTATAAGATTATTAAACATGCTAAATAGATTAGGAAAAAGGCTAGGATTTGTATGGTATCTTCCAAATATATCGTTTATTTATTAATATTTATGCATTAAGGCTTAAATCAATTCTTAGACAAGTCACTTCTCAGATTTAACTGTAAATGCAAGTTATTGAGGCATTTAAATCTAGCTAATTGTAGACATGAATGCTTTGGTCAGAGATTTGTATAATACAAAATTAAATGACCATAAATGGTAATTCTTTTCAACAGGGCTATAACACCACTGATCTTAAGATGGGGGTGTGCCTGCCTGATGCATGTACTGCGACTGATGTTAAAGAAGTGATGGAATTAGGTCTGAACTTAACATTTATTTAAGAACTTAATAAACTAAATATCTACCTTTTTTGACTTCATGGAGAAGTTTTTGACAGTTCTAATAGTGTATCATTACATGTGTCCATCTTTCTGATATTTGTTCAAGTCCAGGCCTGGGGGCCATAAAACTTATATCACTTTTTACTATATAATCCTTTGGTTCAAGTGAGATTGAGATCAAAAGTGATCTCTTCTAAATTTTATGACCCCCAGTCCTGGTCTAGGAAAACAGACAGATGCAGATTTTAGAAGGATGATTAACGTAGAACCTACGTCGTATGACATCATAACTGGTGAATGTGTTTAGCCTGTGGTAGATTCAATATGACGTCATAATTAATTCAATGTCACTTTTTCCCGTACTTTACACTTCAATAGACAGCTTCACAGAATTTAATTCAAATTCATGCCGAAATAATCTTAATTCAATTTGTATGCTTAATGACAATATATTTCTGGAAGAGAGAAACCTGTAAGCACTTTTCATTTATTAAATCTTGACCTTAACTAAGTTGACAAATCCAAGACTATTTTTTTGCAATGAAATTACAATGTATACAACTTACTGTAATGATGTGAATGGTATGTAGCCCTGTTAAAGGAATGCAAAAATCCTACGAAATCATTAGTAGCCAACTAATAGTGTTTTATATTCAAGTTGATAAAATGTGTCTACGTCAAAGATGTACGTGTTGTAGATCGAGTGATCGTTTGTATATTTTTGTGATATCTATCATTAATTGATGTGCCTTTTCATAATTATTTGTTACTTATTCATATTCTTGGTGTTTGATTACAATTTTTCTATCAAATATGACATTTTTAAATAAAAAGTACAAATTTTGGTAACCCCAAACAGACATTTAATAATTAAATCCCGTGTAAGTGCAAAAAGGTCAATAATATTAGCATTGGTAATTAACCTATCTCTCATTAGTTAGAGGCGAAAGGTATATATTTTAATCAGTTTTTGTAATCATTTGGGTATGTTCTTCATCATATTAAAGGTTGAGAACGTTGTGACGAAGACTTCTGAAAAATATTTACAAATAAAGGGTGGAAAATTGACTAAAAATAGACTTCATTTGCCTATTTGTTTTAATGTGGAGTTATCTTTTATGTCAATTGAATAAAAAAGAAATTATTCTTGAGGAATATTGCTTAATATTGTTCAGTTATAAAGTCTATAAACGACGATATTTGAAGAGGTATTTTTGTGATTTTTCATTTTCTCTTCTTTACAAGTACTCCTAAAAATGTGTAGTTTCACAGGCTGTAATAGATTTAAAAACACGGAAACATATCATGAGCTTTTAACTGATTGATAAGCAAGTACTAATTTATCATTTTGAAAAGTTTGAAAATCTAGTGACAAACACCTTTCCGACATAGGTTCTACCTTAAGCCATATTTTGTGTCCTATATCATGAAATGGAGAGATGATTTCAGTCTGTCTTTCAACTATTTATCGTACTTTTTCTTGATTGTGCCAACAACTCCATACCAAATGACTAAACTAAATTTTAAATGCATCAATTTAATATATACATGTACAGTATTTATGTGATATATGGTTTCAACAAGAGAAACAACCATTAAGTTGCTGCAGAATTCATATAACTGTTTCCCAACTTTAAATAGGGGTTCTTTGTATCAAGATTTCGTCATGGGAACACATAGATAGCCATCTTTTTTTCCAATATGTACTCATACTTTTAAGATAAAGTTCAAACTGACACTCTTTCAAAAAATTTCAAGCCTTGGTGAACTTTTGATTTTTTTTATTCAGATGAAGAGAATAAAATTTAATTGAACATTTTTTTCTTCCACAGCATTTTTGGAACTGTACCAATATACAAACAAAACAATCAAGCTTTCTCTGAAATATGTATATCATCAAGAAGTAGAGTACAAGAGCACTCCAGAGTTTATTGCTGCCAGGTAATCTTCTGTTATAAGATAATTAATGTTACAGTATTACTTGTACAGTATATATTGGTAAATTTATAATTTATAAAATTGGTAGATTAAGTTGGGAGCAATTATACTTTCTAGAATTATTATGTTTAAGGTTAGAACTATAGAATATCTTTTTTTCTTTGAGAATATGTAGTCCACTGTCCAACTTTAACATTATTTCTTAAAAACTGAAATGTAATTGGTATTTTTTTGTGTTTGAAGATAATAAGTTTCGATAGATTTTGGCAAAATTATCCATAAATACAGTTGAATATCCTAACACGCAGTTTCAATGAAATTGTACGTGTTTTATTTTGGCTTATGAACATGACAAACATGTACAATGTTTAATATATATTTCAGTGTGATCTGTTCCATCATTGGCTTTCTGTTGTTGCTGGGCACTCTTTACGACATGTTTATAAATCAAGATGTCGACTCCTCGGAAATCGGAGATGTGAGGGTTGATAAACAGGACAGCGACAAACAGTCTGTTAATTCGGACACCACACATCTGATGTCGGACGGAACTGGCGTATCTGTCCTGTCATTCAGAAACAAGGTCTTACACAACAGTAAGTTTTACGTTTGTTATACCTTTCAAAATTCGGTTCTCTTTATAAACTGGTACTTTAAAAAGTCTAATATTTGTAACGTTTTACTGAACGGTTATAGAAGATAAACCGATATTTGACCACAGAGTGAGATACCCAGGACTGCTCATGTCACACCATGGACAGAATCAGCTTCTGTAAACCACCTATTATTTGTGTCATTTTTTATTGGCTATTAGTCAGTTTGAAATGGACCCACGATAACTAATTTTTAAGACTGTGTAAACAGGTATAAGAAGAATGATCGGATCACGATTAATATTTGTTAGTTAAAGTAGGGCATGGAACTAGCGTATATTTATCACACACGAAAAATAGTTGGTTTACAGTAAATCTCTGTTGTATTTTGTTTGTGTTCAACAGTGATTTGAATTGACCAGTTCAAACTCAGTGCTGGTATAGGAAAATATCACTGAAGCCAGTACGAAATACTCTTTTCTTTGAAAAATATGGTATTACACTTAAACATTTATTGACTGTGATCGCAGACAAAATATGTTTTGTCAAACTCTCAAATCAAGCAGTTTGATTCGTTGGTGTGATAGATGCATATAATGATCAATATTACATGGGGAATGCATGTATCCTTAATAACTGGCATTATGATGAATTTTTATGGCTCCAAAATATGGAGAAAGATAGATTTGGTTAAAAAATATTTATCTATCTTTGCTAGATAAGAGCTTTTGGTCTATTCTGCTGCAACCAATACATGAACCGCAACCTGATACAGCAGAAAGCATTCTTTCCTACAGAGAGTGATTACATTTTCAGACTTAACTGTATTCATGCATTATACATATACTGTTTATTTTTTAGGTAAACTACGGAAGTTTCTACTGAATTTTTCAATCAGCACTAATGGCAGTAAGGTTCTCAACACTGATGCCCTCCCTCATACCGCGGTGCCCGCTCTCAATGGGATGAAGGTCCTGAGTATGGGCTGGATCATTCTGGGTCACTCCTATTACTTCACACGGGGCATGGCAAGTACGTCTGTATCTAAGATTATTTGTTTGCTGTCAATTCACATTCTTGCATTAATAGCCAGGCAATGTGTGTAATTCTATTTCGTCATAATTACGTAATTATGATGTGAGATAGGAATACGCATGTGCAACCTCAGTGTGTTACGAGTTATGAATGAGGAAGGATGTGGTCCTCCAATTAGCAACTTCAGTTTGTGTCTAAGTTAACGTGGTTAACGGCTTTTACGTTTGAGACAATGATAAGATTTCTTTCTTTACAAAACTCGAGGAGTTTCGTGTTTACGACTACCACAAAGTGGTGGTTCGACTACTTTATGATAAAGTCGTAAAAATGGCGGAACAGATGAATCAAAAGAAATAATGACGGAGTACTATTTGCTTTGAAGAAGAAGTAGACACAGAAAAGACAGACAAAATATGTAAAATTAACGATGTTACCAAACCAAAAATCATACGTCGAGGTCCAGGGAACAAAGACCAGGAAACCAGGTAGTTCTGTTGGTAGTACGGTAAGCACTACAGGTACAAGACCCAGCGGAACGAAAAAATCTGTGGAAGTTGTGACCGATGTCCATAAAAACGGTAGTACACAAAACGATAATCAAATTATGTGTATGACTGAATACAATTCTTGAAAACCAGAAAAAACAAGATAAACAAATTGGTACATTGAACAATAAGATCAAAATAGAGAACGAATTTCAAGAATGTGACGATTATGAAAGTTACAATGATGATCAAGCATTCGACTAGAGTTGTAATAATGTTCAGCGTACTGATGATAATGTTGAAAATTCAGATGCTTCTGGGAAAAGGAAAAATGATTATTTGGACACAGAGTTGTTTAAGAAAATATAGGTCATTTTAAGAACATGTATATGAGTCAAAGATTTAAAAGTAGAGGAGTGTGTGACGTGAAAATAGATGAAAGTTTGGCTACAAATATAACAGATTTGTATAGAAATGGAATGAATGAAGATCAATATTCAGATATGATTAAAGATGAAAACAATGCAAGACCAGAAAACTGTGAAGCTCTGAAAGTTATGACGACAAACCAACTCCTATGGGATTTTATATCTCAAGAAGTTAAAACCATTGATAGAAAAATGCAAATTAAAACATAGAAGCTTCTGTTATTAGAGGTTTTATCATCTTGGCCAAAGTCGTGAACAAATCGGCAAATGTGGATAATGAATTGGATGATATGTTGTATATATAAAACGAAATTGGGAAAAATAATAGATGAATGCAATGACAGTTTAACACTTTTTGGACATGTAAACAAACAAGAAAACATGATAAGACGTGAGCTTATTAAACCAGAATTAAGATACAAATACTTATATTTGTGTGCACAGACTGTACTTTACACGTCATGGTTATTTGGTGACGATATTTCAAAAACGCAAAAGAAATAAGAGATTGTAGTAAGGTTGGTCATAAGCTGAACAGAAGAGGTTCATTCCATGGGAGAATTGGAGGAAGTTTCAGGGGTCGAAGACCTACAGGACGTGGAAATTATTATAATAACAACATTGTATACAATCCAAATTATTTATACAGAAACAGTGGTTGAAGTAGTGGCCATTTCTATTCAAAAAACTTCAAGAAGAGCAATTCACTGCCACAACAGAAAAACACTCAATAAATGATCAGGTTAGTGGGAAAAAGATGGCAGTTCTCTTCAATTTTTAAAAAGTTTTATTATACAATTAAATACGTTGACCAAAATTAAATTTTTAAAGATATAAATCAGCAATTTTAAATTGTTATAAATTTCTTTTTTTCCAAAAGATATTATTAAAAACTTATATTTATTCCTTTTACGAAACATTTCATATATATACTTCTCAACACACTATATAAGTGTAGTAGAGATTGTACTACACGAGTGCGAAAGAGCAATTGCGCTCATAGCAGGAGCAGTTGCGTCTATCGTGCTATGAACGCAGTTAAAGCCTGTAGGTTCATAGTGGGAGAGAGCAGTGGATATGCAAATATAAGAGAATATCTTGAGAAATTTGGTTTTGTGATTCATATAGAAAGAAAAGTAAATTTGAACCCCAAAAAGTATCTCGTTTTTTGGAAACAGAATAAATTATTAGAGAATGATTAGTGAATTGACCGAGGAGAAGAAAGACATTATTTATGATGAATGTATGTGTTTAATGCACGAGCTCAGTTGATTCATCTTATGTCTGTAAATAATATGAAAGTGTTTTAATGAATATATATTGGAATACTCTGCATTGTTATAGCAATGTAGACCGGGGTATAAAATGCCTGTTGTACATATGAAAGCACATCCTCCAGATAGGAGCCTTTGTATATATGTTGTGGTGAAGGAATATTAATCAAAGACAGCACCTATTAGAAATAAAGAACGATCACTTTTGTTAAGTTGTGTTAAACCTCATAAGGCGGTTACAAAAGACACAGTGTCTAGATGGATAAAAATGGTGATGAAACTTTCTGGAGTTAATACAGATGTATTTGGATCGCTCAGTGTAAAATCTGCTTCGGTGTCAAAAGCAAAATCAGCAGCTGTGCATGTAGATGAAATTTTAAGGAAGGCTGGATGAACCAATGCTATAATATTTTCCAAATTTTACAATGTACGAAAAAAGACATCATTGTTGTAAATGAAAGTTTTGCGTCAGAGTTAGAGTGGGAGACTTCTCAGTAAGTAGAATAGTATAATGATCATGTGATTTTTTTTTGTGTTTTGAAACATTTGATCATTATGGGCTTTGAAGTCTCACATAATTCCGGAAGTATTTATGACGAAGTAGAATTGAAAAATCAACGAAATCTATCTTAGTTAAGTGGAACTCAGATTGTAATTCTATGAGTCATTATAATTACTGTAGGGATTATGTACCTCATATCACTCCCTACACAATTATTCAGATATTTAAGGAATCACTGTCTAGTTAGTATAGTATGCCAGGGCATCAACGAAAGCGGGAAACATGGAATAATTTGAATAACGGGCGAAGCCAGTTATGCATAAATTATCCTATGTTTCCCACTGTCGTTGATGTCCCTGGCATACTATACTAACAAGACAGTGATTCCTTATATTTCCATTTCATTGTGAAATAATGTTGAAGATTTAGATTTTTTAAAATGTTGATATAGATTTTAATCACACGAGGACTCCCATGCCAATTTGAATAGTCCGGGCCCACTGAGGTCAAACACAAAGGCAGTCGCACGAGATTTACATGCATATTTGGCCTCCTTGGCTCCTGACCTATCGACCTGCCTGATTTACATTCTGGTAGAATTATCAAGAAATCAACTCCGCTAACTTTCAAAGAGTTATCACAGAGATAAAATTAGAAATGGAAATATACATAGATATCAAACCAATAATGCACAGAGTAATATTAAGTAAGGTAATTATATAATACTGGTATGATTACATTATGACCAAATGTTTTAGTTTGAAAACTGAGGTTGCACATGCGTAGTGGTCTACTATCTCACATAATCCCTACAGTAATTATAATGACTCATAGAATTACAATCTGACTTCGACTTAACCAAGGTAAGTCTCGTCAATTTTTTAAATTTTTGGGTGAGGTATTAAAATACAGGTACTGGTAATTTGTATAGTGTATATCATGTCAGCTTCAGAGTGAACTATTTGTTAAAGTGTTCTATGGTTTGTTTGATGAAATTAAGGGCACACATTGATGTTTGAGAGTTCCTTAAAAAGGCTAGATTCTATTTTAGAGTGCACTCTAGAACTCAACAGATGAAACAGCCTGAAGAAATTGAGATTTTTTTTTAACTTTAACTTTCCTTCTTTAATGATATTTTTCTCTCAGGGAATATTGTACCAGTAACTCTGAATTGGTCACAAAGATGGACCTTCCAGATCGTGAACAATACAAATTATGCCGTTGATTCATTCTTTCTGCTCAGGTATTTCAAAAGCAATCAAACCTTTTTTCAAAGATTTTTCATTTTTTTTTATATCTGTCACAAAAAATATAATTCCGATGAAAAAAGATAAGTACTACAATATAAGTACATATGTATTATTTGGGCTTGTGCACATGGTAGCCTTTTCAGGGGCAGTTGTACCCCACTACTGTGTTAAGATAGAAGGTCTGCAGTTACACTGACATATGACGTACTCTACCTGTTTTATATATAACTACACATGCATGTCAAACGAGGTCTTGATTAATTTTGATATGATACAGGTAGATGGTCCATGGTTTTATTGATTTGATGGAATGGATTCTATTTTTAGCGGTTTTTTGGTGAGTTATTTGACCCTCAAGGAGTTACAGAAAAGAGACGGAAAGCTGAACTGGTTACTATTCTACTTCCATAGGTTCTGGAGGTGAGCATAAAGTCATATTTATAATGAAATAAACATATATATATATATATATATATATATATATATATATATATATATATATATATATATATATATATATATATATATATATATATATATATATATATATATATATATAAGCACTAAAAATGACCAACGACACGATCAATAAAAATTGTCAAATTTTCGGGACGCCCTGTCCCTTCCTCAGGACAAAGAAAAAAGTTAAAAAGTCATAAGAACAAAGGAAAAAGAGAAACAAAAACAACTAGCACTACTACTAAACACTAGATATTTACATACTTAATTACATGTTGAATTGGAAATTTTTAATAACACTAATAAAGAAAGAAATCCGGACCGCTATGAAATGCGTCCGGTCTATCGGGTATACTCGGGTGAAGTGCGATTTACATAATTGAACAATCCTTTGTTCTTATGACTTTTTAACTTTTTTCTTTGTCCTGAGGAAGGGACAGGGCGTCCCGAAAATTTGACAATTTTTATTGTTCGTGTCGTTGGTCATTTTTAGTGCTTTATATAAATTTCCATCCGTGACCTTGTATCTACTTGGTAGATACACTTAGGATATACAGTGTTGTTGGTTTTTTAGTGCTTTATATATATATATATATATATATATATATATATATATATATATATATATATATATATATATATATATATATATATATATATATATATATATATATATATATATATATATATATATATATATATATATATATATTTTTCAACTTTGTAATATTTATCTAGCTGCATTTACAAAATGATCGAGTACTGCAAAAAATGTACAGAATAGTAAAGAGTTTTCAGCAAACTAGAGTAAATTTGATGAAGTGCATAATTATCTGAATGCCAGATCTATACTTATGTGCTTCAGTTATTTGTGCCTGATCTGGTGTCTGATAATGTGTTTATTTTATATTAAAGATGTAGTCTTAGTTTATAAAACTTTTGAATTAAATATGATAACTGATTTTATCCTTGCTGACTTTATAAAAAAAACAACAGTACTTTTGATTCATTTGATTCCCTGAAAAATTTGCATAAGGAAAAAATAATTCACTATTACGTAGGTTGACCCCTGCCATGATGCTGTTTATCCTGGTGTACACGGCCTACTTCCAGTACTGGGGCTCGGGACCTCTCTGGCCCCTGACGTCCCCTGACTACCAGAACTGTAAGGAGTACTGGTGGAGGAATCTTCTGTATATCCAGAACTTCTTCCCGTTCAGTGAAGAGGTAAACATGATTTAAGACGAGAATGCACTAGAGCTCATCTGGGACACATGTGAGCTGTTGCTGAAAGGTATTATGTAAATATTGCATGACTGTAGTTGAGTGTTCCATGAAAATTTTCACCCTCTGAAAACTATTGTCAACCGAGGCTGCGCCTAGGTTGATTATGGTTTTCTTGGTGTGTCTCAGTTGAGAATGGTTTTCTTAGGGTGAAGGTTTTCAATGTTACACTCAAGTACATACAATTTTTATTATACTGAGTGTTTTAACAGTGTACTGTGCGAGCATAAATTCTGCACAGTCACGTTTTTTAATAACACCCGTCGTCAAGAATTGTTCACTGTTGTTATGCTGAAAGGTGTGACTTCATTTATCTGTGAGTAATGTTGTTTTTTTTAAAGATTTTAACGTTGAATCATGTTCAACTAATTTACTTGAAAACATACATACAAACTATAGTGTTGATGTGCCATGTCTTTGATATTTTGGCCCAAATTCGAAATTTATTACACAGTTGCTTCTCTTCATGCTTTCTATCTTCTCTTACTAATAATGTTTGTGAAAATCAAATGAAAAAAATGTATTTTATCATTTAAATATTTATTCAACAAAAAAATGCATATTGTTTTACTCATCAAAGAAATTTTGAAAATAGTATATTGACAACTACCTTTTTTTTTTATCCATCTGGGCATCTCAGGATTTGCTCACATGACCAACCAAGTTCATTTCCCAGTGAACTTCTTAACATTTTTAGCTCACCTGAGCCTTAGGCTCAAGTGAGCGTTTCTGATCACATTTTGTCCGTCGTCCGTCCGTCTGTCTAGCTGTCCATCCGTCTGTAAACTTTTCACATTTTCGACGTCTTCTCAAGACCAATGAGCCAATTTTAACCAAACTTAATTCAAAGCATTCTTAGGTAAAGATGAGTTTAAATTGTTAAAAAAAGGACCAAGTCCCCTCACAAGGGGAGATAATCAAGAAAAGACAAAATGGAGTGGGGTCATTAAAAAATCTTCTTCTCAAGAAACACTGGGCCAGGAAAGCTGAAACTTATGTGGAAGCAACCTTGGGTAGTGTAAATATGAAATTGTCAAAATCATGACACCCAGGGGTAGGGCGGGGCCACAATAGGGAATCAAATTTTTACTTAAAAATATATAGAACAAATCTTTAAAAATCTTCTTCTCAAGAACCACTGGGCCAGAAAAAACTGAAACTTATGTGGAAGCATCTTTGAATAGTGTAGATATCAAATTGTCAAAATCATGACCCCCGGGGGTAGGGCGAGGCCACAATAGGGAATCCAAGTTTTACATATAAATATATAGAACAAATCTTTGAAAATCTTCCTCTCAAGAACCACTGGGCCATGAAAACTGAAACTTATGTGGAAGCAACCTTGAGAAGTGTAAATATTAAATTGTTAAAAACATGACCACCAGGGGTAGGGTGGGCCACAATAGGGAAGCCAAGTTTTACATAGAAATATATAGAACAAATCTTTAAAAATCTTCCTCTCAAGAACAACTGGGCCAGGCAAACTGAAATTTATGTGGAAGCGTCCCTGGGTAGTGTAGGTATTAAATTGTTAAAATCATAACCCCCGGGGGTAGGGCAGGGCCACAATAAGAAATCCAAGTTTTACATAGAAATATATAGAACAAATCTTTAAAAATCTTCTTCTCAAGAACCACTGGGCCATGAAAGCTGAAACTTATGTGGTAGCAACCTTGGGTAGTGTAAATATTAAAATTCTTAAAATCACGACCCCCAGGGGTAGGAACCACAATAGGGAATCCAATTTTTAGATAGAAATTTATAGAACAAATCTTTAAAAATCTTCTTCTCAAAAACTTCTGGACCAGGAAATCTGAAACTTATGTAGAAGCATCCTTGGTAGTGTAGAATTTAAATTGTTAAAATCATGACACCCGGGGGTAGGGGAAATGTAGTAAAGAACTATATCACCCAAGTTACTCAGGTGAACGATGTGGCCCATGGGCCTCTTGTTTATTTATTATGTAATTAATATTTTGTAAATTCCTCTTACTGTACATAAAAATGTAGATTCTATAATAATTGCTTTAAAAAAATATGAACCCATGTTTGCTATCTTATTTTTCAGTGCATGGTTTGGGGTTGGTACCTTGCAGTTGACATGCAGTTTTTTGTACTTTCACCATTTATAATATACCCCCTGTACAGGTATGTGTTATGTTGATTAATGTTATTATTCTCATGAACTGTATATCACATTTACTAAAGACATATATACTTTATTTTCAAGTTATTTTTTTATTCAGGAAATCTTTGATAGGACACATTATCATACTGGCTCTTATGGTGGGGCAGATGATCTACAGAGGAATAATATCAGTACAGCTGGATATGACCTTGAACGCAGCACCTGAGTAAGTTAATGATGACAACATACAGTGTAGTACAGTATGATATGTTGGTTTACATATGTATTGGCAGCTGTTTGTCAGATAGGATATTTATATTTTTGGCATATAATTTGTTAAGATTAGAGGCACATATTCTTGCTTTTCCTTCGACTCTTTACCAAATATTTAATATATTGTCTTCGTTAGTAATTAAAAGAAATAGATGAAAATTAAAATAAACTTGTCAATTATACATTTTCGAAAAAAAAATATTGCATCACTCAAATTATTCCAAATCATGTATATTACATGCACATGTGTAATAAGTATAATTCCTCGTGATGCTTGAGTTTCTGATTGACTGTCTGTTTCAGAATTCCAATGGTTACTAATTGTGCCATTAGAATGTTCATATGAAGCAGAAATAATTTTAGAAAACACAGCTGATGTTACTTACGAATTTCTTTTCTTCAAAGCCAGGAAGAATTGTTTGACAAGATGTACCAGAGGCCGTATGCCAAAATAGCCCCCTACCTTATTGGCGTACTAACAGGGTACTTCATGTGGAAATCAGAAAGACGGGTCAATCTGCCAAAAGTAGGTATTTTTTATGTCAATAATGAACATCTGCAGAATTAAAACAAGATATGTTTGTGAAACAAAGATGCCCTCGAAAGACACATTATGGCGCGGGTTGAATTCTCTGAAATGCATGTCAAACTCTAAACCTCAAGGTCAAAAGTGTGAGTGTGGATACCCAAAGAAAGGTTTGTTACAAGAAAAACACCTATGAAATATGAAAGTCCTAGGTTTAACTGTTCAAAAGTTATGACTAAGGTAAAAGTTTTAAAAAGTGGGTAAAACTCTTATGTCAAGGTAAAAATATTGATACAAGCTGAAAGGACTTGTCACAATAAATACACATGTGAAGTATGAAATTAAAAACCCTAGTTTCACCTGTTTAAAAATTATATATCCAAAGTTAAATTGTGGTATTTTTTGTAAAAGTAGGTCAAACTCCAAGGTCAAGAGGTCATATTTGATGGTACCCAAAGAAAGGACTTGCCACAAGGAATACATCTGTGAAATATGAAAGCCCTAGCCCTACCAACTCAATAGTTATGGCAAGATTAAAGTTGACAACAAACAGAAAAAACAGATACTAGACTAGCAGACAGACAAGACAAAAACAATGAACACCCGGGATCTTTTGATCCAAGGGCAAATAAAGAGTAGTTTGTCATTATGCTAGTTTTTTTATGCTGATAATTGAAATTAGGACAAAGCTTTATTACTACATGCTCCTCAGAGTATGATGTTTTGAAAATTAGCCATCATACTTTCTTGTAAACTTATAATAACAGCATAATTTCTGTAAACTTATACATGAGCATATCAGTCCTTTAATATTTGAAAGAGCACAAAGGAAATGAATAAAATGCATTTTTAAAAACTTTAAAAAAAATGAAAAACTTGCAGCATCGTTTAACTGTCGGACTGATTTTCAACAGATACATGTATGTTGCTGCAAGTGTTAAAGTTTTTTTAAAGGAAATGGATTGAATTCTGCTTAGCTGCATGTATATGCTTCAGAAAACACTTTTTATATTAGTTTTATATATAACCAGGTGATCATAGTGTTGGGATAGATTATTTCCCTTGTTTGTGTGTCTTCTTTGGTGTTTGGGACCACTGAACAGTACAGGGGCCATAAATCCTCCACAGCAGTTACTGCCCTTTACAACTCTTTGTCCAAAACAACATGGAGCTTGGGCTTAGCATGGATTATTTTTGCATGTAGCTTAGGATATGGAGGTAAAAAATAAAAGAATAAATTGTAAAGAAATGGTGTTAATAATATTTCAAATTGTTGTTGTAATGCTGTGCCTTTGTATTAGATGAACAAAAATATTGTACCTTGGTATGTGTATTTAAATTTCAGCTAATGTTTCAAGTCAAAGGTATTATTGAGCTTAGTAGAAGAGTGACTAGTACCATTTAAAATGATGATTATCCCTCTGTTTTTGTAATGTTGTTACTTTCTGTAGATTTTTACATACTGTATAATGATACATTTTCACCCCCATTTTATTTTTGCCCCTTTCGCCTTTGTCACACTTTTAATAAACATAACTGTGACTGGGAGAATTTAAAACGGGACATAATTGTTAATAAGTGTAAAAGGGCAAAATAACATGGGGTGAAAATAACTCTGTATACAGTATCTGTTTTCTTTTCCAGAATCACTGAGCCAACTGTAATTACTATATTTTATGCATGAAAGTGGTTAAGATGGACAGTGTCTGATTCTTGTTTAATGGACACATTGTAACATTTGACCTGTAGGTTTTATTAACACGTTCCTGTCGGCCCGTCTGTGGTCCCCCCTCAGTCGCCTGACCTGCTGTGCCTACCTGGTCCATCCCGTCATCATGTATGTCTACACTTACAGCCAAAGATACACAATGTACTGCACTGACATCAATATGGTGAGTATAATTTATACTTTAAATTCAAACTACTGTATACAGTAAATAGTATATCCAGTGAGAAATTTAAATCAACAAAAAATATTATAGTTTCAAAGTACATGACTGTATGTTATAGACAATTTAAATTTTCATGACGTATGTCACAAACTATTTGGATTTTGTATAAATTTTCAGAAAGAGGAAATAAGGTACAAAATTTCCTCAATTTCTACTTTAAAATTTAAAGAGTGCAGGTCTACTCAAGAATGATATTTACATATTTCATTGATATCATCATTCTACACATTATATAGAGAATAATACATACCCTTTTCCATATCACATCCTGTATCAGCCCGAGACACCAATATCAGCCCGAGGGCCGAAGGCTGATATTGGTCGAGGGCTGATACAGGATGTGATGTGGAAAAGGGTATGTATTAATATGTTTATTACATACTTAGTAATAAAATACAGCATACATTAAGTTTGGAAGAAAATAAGTAAATAATCATGCATGGACTTCTTACATACATGTACATGGTCTATTGTCTCATACGATTTGGATTTGTTTCTACTTCTATTTCAATGCACTCGATCCGTAATTTGAAAATCGTCTATTACATGTATTTGTTAATTCAGATTAACCTTACTTTCAAAAAGCTAAAATTAAGAGAATAACCCACCAAAAATTGTGTATGATCACAAGTACTGTTTTTGTGGTTTAATTTACTAAGGGTGTGATATTGACGTCACAATAGCCGTATCAGCCCTGCAGGGCTGATATAGGTTATCAGCCCTGCAAATCCATATCAGCCCTGCAGGGCTGATACGGCTATTGTGAAGTCAGCCATATCGCATATGCAAAAAACCTGTATTTATTATTAAGTGTGTAATAAATCAAAATATTGAGCTTTAAATGACCTTCATTTAGTGACTTTTGCTCAAATAATGATGTAGTGGTAGGAGAGTATACCCAGGCTTTTGTTGAGAAAATAATGGGGAAAAGGACAACATTATGTAGAATTACGTATTCGAATCGGACATTAGACTGAGATGCTACTATAACGTGACGTGACATACTTACATGTAACTTGACGTTACTTCGTAGTTTCCCCAGGGTTTAACAACTATCCATTTTCAGAAAGCTGATATGACCTAATTGGTAATAGGAACGTGGTGAAATTTTCCAATATTGTTGCATTAATTTTGACTCTATATTATAAATATGCCTATTGTTTGTATTCATCAATTCACGATAAAATTTCAGAAAGAAATTCCACGAACTTTTGGATCAACCCTCGTACATCATTTTCTGTGAAAATCATGGAAATTTTAAACTTGCATCATTTTCCTGACATCATAGAAAACATATGACGTCATGGCTTATGAAAATATTCAGTGCTTTGAAGTCTATCCGATATCCCCCTGTTTTAAGACATATATAATTCTTTGTCAAAGTTTGATTTTGGGGGCAAATATTGGTCATTACCGAGAAAAGTCTTTTAGTAATACACACATAAAAAGGAACAGAAAATCACTCAAGATCAAGAACCACAGACTGTTTTCTAGTGACTTTCAGTCTATGATAATGACATTTCATATATTTTTCAAAAATATTTCCTGCCGTGGGGTGTCAGGTCCTTTCACATTATAATTTTGTTTGTTCTAGGTCTTCCTCTTCTTGGGATTTTGGATGGCTGCGTACGGAGTAGCTTTCTTTGTTTCCATGGCGTTTGAAGCACCAATGATAGGACTAGAAAGACTTCTTCTGAGAAGAAACTAAGATTAATTGTTAAGATCTAGTTGTTATCTTTTTCTATTTAAAAATGTTTATTTCTTAAAATCAGTTTTACAGATTTACAGGTGACTTTGTATATTATGAATAAATCAATCAAGGTTTTTTTAACGAACTGAAGTGATAACATGACTGTACAAAAGCTGTACACAACAAACATATGGGAAAATATATATATTTTCAGTTGGTAACATTTAAAATGACCAACTTTGTAGATCTGATAAATATGGCTATGTTTGGCATATTACATGTACATGTATAATGTTCATTTTCTTTGTTTATTTTTCTTATTTCATTTTAATACCTGTTAAGAATTCTGCTTTGTACACTGATAGAATTTTTTAGTATTATATATAAACTTTTCTATTTACAGTAATAATCCTGTTTTACATTAAAAGGAAAAAATACATATATATGCCATTTCTAAATAGGGCTGTTATTAAGGAATTAGTGTCTTGTTAGGAGGGAATGCCAGGGCATCATCAATAGTGGGACAATTTTTCAATGATCCAAAGACTATACATAATCAGGTAGTCTGAATCTCTGGAATGTTTAATGTTTTATTCAAATCAAGAAATAATTGTTAAAAGAAAAGCATTTCATAAAAAAAAACATATTGTTTTTTATTGATTCACAGACACTTGATCCATGTAAAGCTTCAGTATGCTTATTATAACACAAACTGTAGAAAACCACCATATACGGTTCTGTTTGTATAATTATAACTTTATCTTTGTGATGAGTCTACAAAATTTATAAACTAAATATTCATACATGTACATGTATATTGCAATATTTCAGGCTTTAAACGAGTTATAGCTTAAATTTTTCTATTTCCAATTGTTTTCCCTACGATAAACACTACAAAAGTGAATCTTGTTAATTTCTCCGTGATTCCTGTGGCATGTAAATTTCTCTATTGAAATACTACTGAAAGGTCAAATGTCAAACTTGCATGTATATGAGTGGCGTATAAATACACTGAAGAAAAAAAAAGATGTTTTGTTTAATTGTTTACTAAGTAATTAGATATGATATATCTTTTTACAAACAAAATAAATAATGAATTATCTTCGGATCAAAAGCACGTCACTAGCGCAACGCTGTCCATTTTCACCGAGGCCTTGCGAGACCATGAACTTCACATCGGCAAGCATGGTAAACAGCTCATCTGAACTACGTGGAGAATCGGCATTCCCACATAGATCTGCACTCCATCATCCGATACAAACATCGTCCCTCAGTCATTAACATCCAACTTCTTACGCAATTCAACGTCCTCTAGCTGTTATTTTAACACACACAGTTCTGTTTCCTGACCATGCTAACCGACTCTCGTTTCATCAACTGCAACACTGCATTCAATATGGCGGCGGAGAAGTGACCTAGGGCCTATACACGTGCTTCCGACAACCTTAACCTAGGTCACATAAATAATTAAAGTTAGCAAGATTGCTTTGATCATAACATGAAATTCTTTGTTGTTTATTTTATAAATGTTGATATTTGACTGCAGTGTAACTAAATAATCATTAAATTTGTGTCTTGTTTGTATTGGGCTATTTTTATAGTAAAATTTGACGTCATGGGGCGGGGCAATGGAAAATAACATGGAATGCCTCGTACATTTCAAATCTACTAAATAAGACAATATTTCGACTTAATGGAAATATAAAGAATAACTGTCTAGTTAGGAGAGTATGCCAGGGACATCAACAATAGTGGGAAACATGGGATAATTTGTATAACGGGCGAAGGTGTAAGGATTTGACACTTACAGTATGGAAAGCCAAACTGTAAATCATAACTTCATAATTTGTCGATTGTTCTACAAAATTGTGTATAATTTAAAAATCACGAAAGTACAATTTACATTTTACAAGTTGACAAATCGCAAGTCTACGAATTGCAAGTGATCATTGACATAACTTGCATTTATATTTTACAAGTTATGTTGGATACTTCACAAATAACACATTATGATAGAACACTTGACAAATTATGAAATTATGATTTACAGTTTACAAATTAAGGTTTCATTGTGTACATTTTATGAATTGCAGAACTGGAATTTTGAATCCGTTGGCTTTCCATATTACATGTGCAGCGAATTGATTTTTCATTTCCCCATGACTTTAGATTATATTGTAATCTTTAAGGTGCTCAGTCGAGACACAGATTTGAGGTAAATATTTACTCAATTTTTCTGTACAATTTCCTAAGTTAGATGTTGCTGTGGCATCTGAAACGAAAATAAAATAAACAATCTTATGCAGAAGTAATTGAAACCAGGGGCGTAGTATCCGGGGGGGGGGGGGGGGGGGGGGGCCTGGCCCCCCCCCCACTTTTTTTCCAAACCTTACTTACACTATAGGAAATGTTAATTGAAAGCCTGGTTGGCCCCCCCCCCCACTTTTAGAAATGTACCGGAAATGTAGTATAAGAATTGGTACTAAAAATAGTTGACACTGAGAAAAAGTTTACCTACACGCCTACCCCCTCCCCCCCCCCCCCCCCCCCCCCCCCCCCCCCCCAGGAAATAGGATTTTCGAATTTGGGCAACTTTTTCCCTTTTTTTTTTTTTTTTTTTTTTGCCTTGTCAACTTTTTCAGGTAAGTAAAATATTTTTTTCTCTGCCTGGCCCCCCCCCCCCACTTTCAAAAACAAAAACGATGCTACGCCACTGGAAACTTCGAATTTCTAGACGCATTTGCTTTACACTTCCTTTCACCTTCACATACGTGTACTTTAACGTTTATTTCTAAAATTTTGCATCATTTTTTAGTCCTAACATTAAATCTTGATTTTACAATGCAAATTGAACAATATTTAATGAAAAACTGCGATTTAATTCCATTCAAGTAGGATTTAGGACATACGCAAATTACCTTACCTACTGATAATTCTATCAAGATATTCTTAATCTAAGATTGTAGTGCCATCAGATGCTCATAGACAAAAAAAAATCAGAATATATTTCCAGGGGGTTTAGGAAGATATCAAACTATGAAAAAGCATAATCCAAAGAAAAGTACATGTATACAAAAATTACAAAACAGAAATTCCAGAATTTTTTTCATGAAACTTTGTTTTAAGAAGAGGTGTGAAAACCATATACAAACATAAAAAAAAAATGCCCAGATGTTCCTTATTTAATGTAACTCTTCAACTCCAGCGAAGAGTCTACTAAAGTTTAAACTAAGTCTAAGTTGCATATGACCTTAAGCCAGTTTTTTTTTTTTTAGAAGAAAATGATCATTTTTTTCCTTTTGAACCATATACAATATTGTTAATTCTATATTCGTATTTTTCCATGCTGGTTGCATGCATATCTGTTTTTTTACTGTGAAATGTGTTATGTTGGTTCTGAAATATCCATTAAATCATTTTTTTAAATGAATTCTTTCAACGAATTGTGAGAAATTTAATAAATATACGGAAAGTATAGGAAAAAATTGAGCCAATTTTAAATTGACACTTTTTAGTTATATCTATAGATTTACATCATACAACACCGTGATTACTGTTCTTTTCTGAATATTTAAATTAAATTTGACCTATCTGCTTCAATTCAGCAAACGTTTAGGACCTTAAAATAATTTTAATGCAAGATAAATCACATTTTGTAGTGCAGAAAGGTCAAAAAATTAATTATGCGACGAAATTTTAAACGTATTCTTAGTCACAGTTTGAAAGTGTCTTATTCAAATAAACTTTTAGTTTTTCCATGCTTTATTTGGTTAAAAATATTAGAGGGAAAACTTGGAAGATGTAATGTTTGATTAAGACACAAATTTCAGTGCAAAAAAAATCATATTAAATGTACTGTAGCCAAAAGAAGCATATCAATCCCCATTTTTTGATTACATTTTCTTTGTACTAGTTTATTGAAACTAAAAATATACTTCATAAAAAAGGCTTTAAATATCAGGAGCCAACATCGGTAAAAAAGTGGCATTTTTGGTGTATTTATGAAAAATACTAAAACTATAATCCAGAAAAGTCAGATTAGAAATATGCAGAAACGAAGCCAACACATCAGTTTTGTCAGTGGTGTGTGAAGAGCTCAAGAATTGAACACACCCTGTGAAAAGTAAACATTAACAACATCAGAGGGCATGCCTGAGTACGTTTCAGGGGTCTATTTCGTTTGTTGAACCATGTACACTACTTTGTGCACAGAATGACGTTAATAGGAATTAATGGGTTTGCTCTCACACTATACCATTTTCTGTAAAATAATTTAAAATTTTTTTCATTAATACACAACAAAATTGCTATTTTTTTAAGTATTAAAGATAAAGTTACCTTCAGGGTCAATGTGACGAAATAAAAATATAGTGTAAATAGAAAAGTCTTGTCACGAGGAACACACATGCAAGTTTTAATATGAAACCATATTTCTTCCTATTCAAAAGTTATGACCAAGGTTAATATTTTTGAAAAGTGGGTCGAACTTCAAGTTCAAGGTCACAAGGTAGAAAAGTCTTGTCACATATAATATACACATGTTTAATACGAAAGCTCATTCAAAACTTATAGCCAATTTAAAGAAGTGTTTTAATTTTTCTAAAAGAAAGTGAAATTTCAAGGTCAAGATCATGGGGTAAAAAACCATTGTGTATTTAGAAATCTCTTGTCATAGGCAATACTCTGGTTTAATATGAAAGCTCCATCTCCTCTCACTAAAAAGATCCTACCTAGTTTATTTAAATTATTGAAAAGTAGGTCAAACTTTAAGATCAAGGTCACAAGGTTAACAATCATAGTGTATTTAAAAAAATTCTTGTCACAGTTAATACAAATGTTTAATATGATAGCCTTATATCTTTTTATTATGGCCCGTTGAAACTAATGTTTAAATTTTGAAAGTAGGTCAAACTTCAAGGTGAAGGTCAGGGGGATAAAAATCATAGTGAATTTAGAAAGGTTTTTGTCGCAAGCAATAACCATGTAATATGACAGCCCTATCTCTTCTCATTCATAAGATATGACCAAGGTCAAATTTTTATGATGAACAGACAGAAATACAGACCAACAGATAAATGAAATTTATATGTCCCCCTCGCTTTCGCAAAGAAACACAAATGGTTCAATGTCTTTCTCGGTGATTTATTATGCCACCGTGCTAGCTCATCAATCTTTTTTAAAGATAAGCTTGTGCTGTTCTAAGGGTCAACGACACTACTCACCCTCAAATTTTGAGTATTCTGAGTAGGGTACACAGCTGGGTAAGAGATATTAAAAAAGTAGAGAAAAGTAAATTCAATGCGGTAAAAAGGGACTACTTTTAAGTTAGTGAATATTAAAGTTTAGAAATACAGTATTCACAGTTAAAAGATGTAAAAACACCATTATATAATCGAGGTCTAGGGTGATTCAGTTTGCTCACTTCCAGTTTCAAATGTTTAACATGTGGAAGTCAGAAAACACTGCCCGGCAATCTGTTCCACTGAACTAATGTAAGGGGGAAAAAGGAGTACTGTAAATCAACTTTATGATGACTTCATTTTGTGATTTCTTAGGGTTAAACTAGTTCGCTACGATGACAAGGCTCTCGCGAACTTTGAGAAAATTACTCAGACGCGAATAAAAGTTAATTTACAGTATTTATAAACATTTTTGTAGTTTGTATCTGTCGAAGGTGAGGGAATGAGATGTACAAGTAGTTCTACTGGGGAGAATGAACTGAACTAAGGGGATGGCTACATGTACCAGACCATGTATGATCTTGTACATAAGTACAAGCCTTGCATCCGCCTTTCTTTGTTGTAATCTTCGCCAACCTAAGGTGTCGCTGTGTAGTATATATGAGACACTTGATGTTCATCTAAAATGTACATCCGGATCCGTATTTAGTGCACCAATGATACGTCTTACGTGTTCATAATATAAACATCGTCAACCTTTTTTTGAAAGAAATTGCACAGACCCATGGATATAATATTAAAGTAGAAGGTAAATTGTAGTATTGTACGGCAAATTGTCTAATTTTATTGTTTTTACTTCAACGAAGATCGCGGGTTTACCATGTTTACTGTCTGCGTTAAAACGTACTCTGAAAATTTGCCAGCTAAATCATCTCGTTTCGAATTTTTTTTCTGTAGTCTCAATGAGTTCGGATTCACAGGATCTTTTGCTACAAAACCACTTTGAAGTGATTATAGTATGTTGTTCAGATCAGCATGTTGCATAATTTGGGAACGGGATTCAAGATGGCAAAGGTCATTACGGTACAGTTTTTACTTGGTTGAAAAAATTGGTTGTCTGTAATTCTTGGATCTGTCCAGTCAGGTTTTGTGCTTTCTATGAGGTTTTTGATGCGGCCATTTTATTGCATAGTTTTTGTTAAGAAATGTTTTAGTAGTTTTAATAAATTGATATACTGACTAAAAGATCTCAAGCTCTCTTTTCTATTTGCTTGAATTCCATTACCAATGCATCAGATTCTTTTGATATATATATATATATATATATATATATATATATATATATATATATATATATATATATATATATATATATATATATAGAGAGAGAGAGAGAGAGAGAGAGAGAGAGAGAGAGAGAGAGAGAGAGAGAGAGAGAGAGAGAGATGAATGAAATATCTGTTCTAATTTTTATTTACTGGAGCGGATAAAATGCACGAAACCTGCAAAACACCATAACAAACAGATAAAAATAACTCTTGCAAATACTGTCCATGAAAGAATTATTTAAAAATAAAAAATTCTTAAACAGGCAAAAGTCAAATCACGAAAAGACCAATGATCTTATACATGTATACATATCAACATAACTTTTCTGACTGATTTTTCTGAACGGTATACATAGACATGATTGTACATGAATATATAAAAAAAGGAAATGGTTATTTTTGTTCACTGTAATCACTGTCAAAACTAATTGTGAAAGTCAAATAATGGAGTTATAAACAGGAAGACAAGATAATAAGGATTTGAATTAATATCCGGAGAGACATTTTACTTGAGGATGAGATAACTTGAATGTGCCAAGGATGGGGGAAATATAAAGCTTGCTTTGTGACCCTTTTAATTGTTTCATCTTCAAGGTCTTTATATTTAGCAAGCATTCTGAGAGTATTGCATAAGCAATACATGTCCCCTACCGGGTTCCCCTTTGTCTTTAGGATGTCAATTATAATATGCAAAAGTTATGACCAATGCAAGGTGAAAGGGCTAAAGTTTGAGGTTGTAAAAGCCTCTAACCTCATACAAAAAATCCACATAAAGACGAAAATTAAACTAATTTTTACAACGTCTTTTTCTCGCTTCATATTTACGATGCCGACCATCCTAAACCATTTTGAAAAAATAAAATGCCATAATTCTGTCAATAAATCAATGAAGCACAAGGACATTTCAACTTGATCTGTAACACATCAAGATACACCCGCGTACCAAAATTCAGCTCAATATCTGCAAGCGTTTAGAAAAAAGTGCGGAAAACAAAGTACATGTAGGACAGACTGACGGAAAGACGGACGGACGGACAGACGCAGAGGAAACCTAAAGTCCCCTCCGGTTTCACCGGAAGGGGACAAAAATCGTATTTAGAATGACACCCAACATATCTTTTAACAGGTGCTAAATTCACATAGATGGCTCTCCAGAAAACTGTATTGCTGAGCTCTGTTCTCCTCTCGTTGTGTTTGGGTGCCCTACAGGGCCAGACGAACGTTCCTCAGTACCATGAGCTGATGAGACAGGGTCATGCCAGGTTAACTCAGAAGGAGTCTGAGCCGGATTTTATTCATAGATTCAATGGCACTACTATGTTACAGGTAAGAAAATTAATGAACCAGAACTATTTGTTTCATTGTATCAAATGTTATTTATAAAACTATGTTGCTCACTATACAGATGTTTTCTCTTTTATGAAATTTCCAAAACTGAGAGATTTTTAATTTTGTAGAAAATACTATCACTGGACTCGATGTATGACCAGATTTTGCTCCTAAAGGAGGAATTTATGACTGATCTTGGGTCTCGGATCAAAATGTCGGCGGGTTGTGGTGTTGGACTTCAACTATTATTTGATGGTTTGAAGGAAAGAAATCGCTGGTCTCTTAAAAGTAAAAACATGCTATCTTTTTCGATATTTATGATAAGTATAAAAAAGCATCTCAGTCTTTAAAGAAATTTCATTTACTTTAAGAATATTTCAATAGAAAATAACAAACATTAACAAATAAATGGGTACTGCAAATTTTGCAGGAACATTTCTTAGACGAGAAAGAAGAGTGATTGCCCTTCATTGCAGAATAAAATGTTTATTTGGATTAAAAATTTCATACTCACTACCTGACTAATGTGCTCAAGTAACAGATATTTTATTTCAGTGCTTGATGCCATAGGAAAAGTTCCCAGTAATATATTTGATGGTGATTTCATGTGGCTCGGTCAGTATGATGAGTGTAATACAATCAGTCAGGCATTCACAGACAGAATCACCTATAACGAGACTTTCCTGGTTCGAGGGAAATATTTTCTTGCAGGATTGTGGAATCCTTTGGTAAGAATAGGCATGTTTTTATTAAATTGCAAAAAATAAGAGAGATGATTTAGTGCACCAATGGGGTGGTGATGTTAACTGTATAGCTTCAGTTAAAATTTGTTCGTTACTCTTCATGGTATAAGATTATTTGAAACATTGTTAAATAGATTAGGAAAAAGGTTAGGATTTGTATGGTATCTTCCAAATATATCATTTATTTATGAATATTTACGAGGGCTGTTCGGAAATTATTGAGACAATTTCATTTACTCCATAAAGGACGGAGATAATTTCATGAAAATTCACCAACATCTTATAAAGAACGTTTAAAACACTTGAGCAAATTTTCTAATTCCTGCGATAATTATATAAGTTTCTGTGAAGTAATAAATATGCATATGTCTATCGACCCGTAGCAGCCTCGCTACGTCTTTTAACGTTACGTTAGCCGTAGGTTGTTTCACATGTGAAACGATCGGGAAGCGTTTATTACTTTTCCTTCTTTATTATTATATATAACATTACAAAAATCAAAGTTTCTTAAAACTATTCTTTAAAAATGTTTGCTGTTGCTACCTCAGTCAAAAATTTTCATTTATGGGAAAGGACAACTTAGAATCATGCGGTGCCAATTTATGTAACGTGGGTTAAATACCCTAACGATATCAATACTGTATGTAATAACTCATTGTCGTCCAGATCGTTTAATTTTACTTTTGTTTATATTTAATCGCTAAAAAATGTATACCAAGGAAATAACAAACTCTAACACATAATTTTTTTCTCGTTGTTATTGTTTTAGTAGGTCGTTCAGTCTTCAAAGAGTTCTGCATTGCGCTACACAAAATTTTAGGCATACTGGCTGCTCCGCCCTTGACGTCAAAATCCATTTTTTCGTTGTTAGCAGATTTCTCTACCGCGCTTAATTTTTTTATGATCTCCGTATTTCTGATCAAAATTCTATCAAAGTTGCACAACAGGAATTTGAACCAAAGCTGAAAAATTATACACTTAAACTGAATTATTTTCGCTCTTATTATTGATCCACGAAGAGTTAGAATTTTGGGGTTACATACTTTGAATGTCTGATTCCGCGACTGCTCCGGGTACCCCTACTATTGACACATTTATATACAATTATAGAGAAAATATTTGATATTTGTAAAATATTTCTTGCTCTTATTAATTTTTATTGTATGTCAAACGTATATGCCAATTTTCACTGAAAGACGTTTATTAGAAAGCAAAAGATACACATTGTCTCAATAATTTTCGAACAACCCTCGTATGCATTAAAGCTTAAATCAATGCTTAGACATGTCACATCTCAGATTTAATTGATAATGCATATTAATAAT